AAAATAAATAAATATTTAAAAAAAAAAAATCAGTTGGTAGCATGCTTGCCTTGCATGCACAAGGTCCTGGGTTCAGTCCCCAGCACTAAATAAATAAAGGCACAGAGTGAAGCTTTGGGGACAAACTATACACCCAAGAACAAAACAGAAAGATGGAGGAGAGTTAAGGGAAGACAGTTTCCAACTGGGTCAGTTGAGGAAGGTTTTTGCGGAGTATTTGAATTAGGATTAGACGGTGGATGGGATCTCATCTGTTGAGGTGGGAGTGGTGGCATTTTAGGTAGAGGAAACAGCTCGGTGAGAGGAGGAGGTGAGAAATGCAGGGACCAAATTGGAAGGAGAAAGTGTATGGCCAGCAGATGAGGGAAGGGGTGGCCCCCAGAGGGGAGGTACCCACTGCGATTCAGCAGGAAACGTGGGTCTTCATGGAGCTTTAGCTGCATGGTGTGTTTGCAGTGCCAGGGACTGAACCCAGGGTGCTCTGCCACAAGCTACATCCTCAGCCCTTATTTTTTATTTTGAGACAGGGTCTCACTAGGCTGCTGAAGCTGACCTTATACTTGCCATCCTCCTGCCTCAGCCTCCCGAGTTCCTGGTGTTCCAGGTGTGTGCCACCATGCCTGGCTGCAGTGGGTGCCACAGAGCAGTTCCAGTTGGAGTCGAAGCAGGGTTCAGGGATTGAAGAGTAGCTCATTCTAGGCAGAAAAAGAATAAAGCAATGTTTTTTGGGGGACAGTAAATTAACTTTTACTCACAAGTAAGCAGAAGCCTCTGAAAAAGAATAAAAAGGTAAAAATAAAAACACTGCTTGGCCAACCACCACCACTCCGGGGCGCTGCAGGCCTCCTTACTAAGCAAATGTCTGGCCCCGTCGCTCCCTCTTCCGGTACAAATGAGCACTGCACACTGAGATGTCCCAGCGGGGGGTTTTTTTTGTTGCTTTTTTTTTTTTTTGAGAGAGAATTTTAATATTTATTTTTTACTTTTCGGCGGACACAACATCTTTGTTTGTATGTGGTGCTGAGGATCGAACCCGGGCCGCACGCATGCCAGGCGAGTGCGCTACTGCTTGAGCCACATCCCCAGCCCATTGTTGTTGTTGCTTTTTATTTATTTTTTTTGTTTTGTTTTTTTGTTTTTTTTTTTTAAATGTAACTTTATTTTATTTATTTATATGTGGTGATGAGACTTGAACCCAGGGCCTCACACATGCTAGGCAAGTGCTCTACCACTGAGCCACAACCCCAGCCCCTGTTGTTGCTTTTTAAATACACTTTTGAGTTATCAGTGGATCTCTATTTTATTTATTTATATGCGGTGCTGAGAATCGAACCCAGTGCCTCACACATGCTAGTGAAGCGCTCTGCCACTGAGCCCCAGCACCAGGCCTGTCCCAGACTTTTAAACAAGCATACCTTGAAGGACACGCGGGCACAAGGCCAGAGTCATGACTCGGTGAGGAGTTTGCCAACTTTCAGCCCATGAAATAACACTCCTGGGAGTGGATTCTGGCATAGTATTGAAATATGAAACCAAACTTTGGGAAGCTTTAAGACCTAAGGATCATCTGGTGAAACTGTGCAAGTCCATCATCTCTGTCGTCCTGCTAGACAGGACCTGAGGACAGAAGCATCTGTCCCTCATCAACGCACACTGTCCTGGTTCCTGGCATGCCTGTCCTTGCTGAACCGGGGACTTTCTCCTCACTAACAGTTGTATGACCCTTGAGGAAACTGCAGGAAGCTTTTCCCTGTATAAAAATGAGCAGATTTTAGAACCCTGCCAGACCACAGAAGTCAGGTGGGAAAAGGAAGATGGGCAGCTGTCCCGCTCAGAACACCACCTTGGGTCAGTCAGTGTTCAAACTTACCTCACATCCAAAAGTGCACATGGTGGGGCAGGGTAAGCACTGGCTTAAAGTTTTTCATTACACACTGTATTAAACTTTTTGAATATTTGAAACACATGAAAGTATCACCTTATCCCCCAAAAATTAAAAAGAAAAAAAAGAGAGACCTGGCCCAGTGGCACACATCTGTAATCCCATCAATTTGGGAGGCTGAGGCAGGAGGATCTCAAGTTTGAGGCTAGCATCAGCAACTCTGAGATCCTGTCTCAAAAAAATAAAATAAAATAAAAAGGGCTGTGAATGTAATTCAGGGGTAAAGTGATCCTGGGTTCAATTCACAGTACAAAAAAATATGGGCTGGGGCTGTAGCTCAGTGTAAGAATATATGCACAGGGCTCTGGTTTGATCCCTAAATGCACTATAAACATGAGCTCTGCCACGGAGCTGCACCGTGATCCACTTTCAAAATTGTGAACTATGTTTTTTTTTTTTTAATTTTTTATTGTGGGTTGTTCAAAACATTACAAATTTCTTGACATATCATATTCCACTCTTTGATTCAAGTGGGTTATGAACTCCCACCTTCACCCCATACACAGATTGCAGAATCACATCAATTACACATTGAACTATGTTTTTAATAGGATGTCATAAAAGCAGGTTTTCCCACTGTCAGATTCCCTTTCTTAAAATTGTGTGTGTGTGTGTGATATCAAACCCAGGGCCTGGTACATGCTGGGCAAGTACTCTACCACTGAGCTACAATTTCTTTTTTTTTTTTTTAATTTTTTTTTAATATTTATTTTTTTGTTTTCAGCGGACACAACATCTTTGTATGTGGTGCTGAGGATCGAACCCGGGCCGCACGCATGCCAGGCGAGCGCGCTACCGCTTGAGCCACATCCCCAGCCCCATACAATTTCATTTTATAATTTGAGTCAGGGTCTTGCTAAATTGCCTATGCTGGCCTTGAACTTGTGATCCTCTTACCTTGGTCTCCCAAATAGCTGGGGTTACAGGAGTGTACCACCATTCCCAGCTTTGAAATTTGACATTATAGGAAATCAAAATTAAACATATATACAGCACATATGAAATAGCAGTATTCCTTCAACCTGGCCGTTCTAGTAACCTAGCCTACAAAAACATTTGTATGCAAAAGATGTACTCTGCAACATATACAATCGTAAGGGAGGAAACGTGCTGGCAGACAGGCTAAATAAATCATAGAGCATCCATACAACTGAACACTAGCAAGAGTATTAAAAAGAATAATATCTACACAGGCTAACTTGGGAAGTTGTCCATGTTACCTAGTCAAAATACAAAGCTAAGAAACACTGAGAATGGCCCAATTTGTGTGTGGTGTGTTCACATACACATGAACTCATACAATAATTGTAAAAGTAAAAAATACCAAACGGTATTAAAAGTGGTTATCTCTGGCTGGGTGCGGTGGCGCACCCCTGTAATCCAAGTGGCTCAGGAGGCTGAGGCAGTAGGATTGAGAGTTCAAAGCCAGACTCAGCAAAAAGCGAGGCGCTAAGCCACTCAGTGAGACTTTGTCTCTAAATACAGAAAATATGACTGGGGATGTGGCTCAGTGGTCGACTGCCTGAGTTCAATTCCCGGTACCAAAAAACTGATTATCTCTGTAAAATTGATTAGGAATTTAAGTGGACTACTATTACCTTTGCCTTTCCAAACCTCCAAACATACATCCAATGTATAAAAATACATTGGAACACAAATCATTTCCCTAAATTTTTTCCTGGGTGTCAGCCGATATTTTTTTGATGTGCTTGTATCTATATCCACATCACTGATTTTACTGATATGCTTGTATCTATAACTGCTTTTAAAACCTTTCTAGTAACTGCACTTGTAGTCAGCAAGCCTCTCATTGAACTTCAAGATACTCTTGTAATCAAGTAGTGCTCTCTGGTGGTGGTGTGTTTTGTTTTGTTTTGTTTTTAGTTATAGATGAACAAATGCCTTTATTTATTTTTATGCGGTGCTGAGAATTGAACCCAGTGTCTCACACATGTGAGGCAAGCACTCAAGCACTGAGTCACAACCCCAGCCCCTCTTGATAAATTTTTGAGCATCCTCCCTCTATAACACCCACCCAACTTAGAAGGATGCTTCAAAACCAAAATTCTTCTGGATCTATGCAGGGCACAGGGACTCCAGATATCCCCAAGGCACCAGGTGTTAATGACCCAGTCCCATGTTTCCAAACACAGCATCATTAGTCACTGACCTCTTGCACATATTTCCAGATCTGATCTTGAAGCCGTTTTCACAAAGCACACATTGAAACGGACTTCAGAGCCTCCATGCCTGCCACCCAACATGGACACCTTCAAAACACCACTATAGGGCTGGGGCTCCACAATACAGCGCTTGGCTAGCCCTGTGAGGCCCTGGGTTTGATCCTCAGCACCACATACAAATGAATGAAATAAAGGTCTCTGTCTACCTACAGTTAAAGATATAAGCACATCAGTGAGCACTGAGAAGACCTGCACAGGAACTAGCCCAGCAGCTCCTTGTAATTACAGGAGCTGGTGTTGGTCATTTGTCCTGTGTGCTCATTTGTATGGACGAGTCATGGCCATTCAGCAAATACGTGGATTTGCCTTCAGATGAATGGATTTCTCAAAAGACAGCAGTTTTCTCTCATCTCTAAAGCTAGGCTTCATCTGAACACGTTCACTCTTAGCCTCTATAAAATTGGTAAGGACAACACAAAGCTGCCCTGCATCAGAGGTTGGTTATGTATCACATCCTCCCCCCCAACCAGAAAAAAAGAACAAAGTGTCATAGATTATGCTTGGATTCTCAAATGGGTCTCTGGATGATGGCAATGCCTAATATTAAGCCAGCTTCCCTTCAACTTTTTTTTAGTTATAGATGCCTTTATTTTTATGTGGTGCTAGGATTGAACCCAGTGCCTCACATAGGCTAGGCAAGTGTTCTGCCACTGAGCTACAGCCTGTTATTTGTTTTTTGTCATGCTGGGGATTAAACCCAGGCCCATCTGCATGTGAAGCAAGAACTCTACCAACTGAGCTATATCCCAGCCTCAAGAATTTGTAATTTAATTAATTACAAATTCTTCATCTGATTAAGCAAATGTCACCATCTTGCCGGTCAGGGTCTTCACCAAGATCTGCATCCCACCTCTGAGACGCTGCACCAGGTGCAGGGTCAACTCCTCCTGGAAATTGTAGTCAGACAGGGTGCGCCCATCTTCCAGAGCACTAGTATAAATTCAGATCAGAGGCCAATTGCTTCGACAAACCGCTGTCACAACAGAAAACCTGAGGAATCAAGTTCATCTTGAAAATTACAGCAATGAGCCATTCTGATAATAGTAATAGAACGCAGAGGCACTTTAAGCACGGAGCCACACCCCCTTTGAGACAGGCTCTAACATGCTTAGGCTTTACTAAATTGCTGAGGCTGGCCTCAAATTTACCAGCTTCCTAAGTTGCTGTGATTACAAGCATGGGCCACCATGCTTGGCATCATTCTCTATTTTAAACTTGTTAAGTAGATGGAAAATATATTACCTGCCACCTTTTCAAATAAATCTGATCTCATTGACTTCTATGCAGCCCGGTGATTCATGCAGCTACTATGTTAAAGCAGATTCTTTCCCCTCCCATCTTACCTTTTTAAATACCTTTCCTACAAGAAACATTCTTCTCACACCACCCCAAAGAGTAAATACAAACCTGTTCAATGTACACACATAAAACATTAATCTATCCAACCCTGACACTTTTTTTTTATTCCTGACATTCTTTTAAACTACTGTACACATTTTAAAATTTTTTTAAATTGTAGATGGACATGATACCTTTATTTTTATGTGGTGCTAAAGATTGAAATCAGTGCCTCAAACACGCTAGGCAAGTGCTCTACCATTGAGGTACAACCACAGAATTTTTCTCCAATGTCTCCAGTGTCAGGCAAGCACTGCACCACTTAGCTACAACCACAGCCCCTTTGTACATATTTTCTCATCAGTAAAATCAAATAGTGTCAGCCTCCTGACAGTGCCATACACCTGCAATGCTACTCCCAGCAGCTTGGGAAGCTGAGGCATAACTGTGAGCTCAAAGACAGCCTCAGCAACTCAGTCTCTAAGAATACGGCTGACTAAGCACCCCTAGGGTCTAATCCCCAGTACCCCCCTAAAAAGTATCTGCCTCATAAAATCAAGGGGTATATTGATTTATATATTTATATAAAATCTACCACTATCTCTGCTATTGCTGTTTTTGTTATAACTTTCCTGAGTATAGGATAATTGTAAGGGGAAAAATATTTAAAAAGCATGAATAACCCAGCTTTTATTTTTACCTTCCTACAGTTCTATATACCACTTTGCAATGGCATTTTCTTACTTCATGGTAACCACAAAAACATTGATGCACCAACCCAACACTAATTCAGTTTTATTTTTTTAAAATTTATTTTCTATTTATTCATTTGTAGGTGGTGCTGCAGATCAAATCCAGGGCCTCACATGTGCTAAGCAAGCGCTCTACCGTTGAGCTATCGCCCCAACCCCTTAATTTATTTTTAGTTGTTGATAAACATTAAACATGATGCTGAGAATTGAACCCAGTGCCTCACACATGCCAGGCAAGTGCACTGCCACTGAGACCCAGCCCTAATTCAAAGATCTTTAAACTGAATCCTGCTGATCCAACCCTACTCCAATTTGAATATTCTTATAACTAAAAAGACAAAAACACGACCTGGAATGCAACAACTTTATTGAAAGAAAAGTGCAAAGAAACTTGTCAAATGCTTAAAAGGGGGAAACTTAGACACCTCCCCTCAAGCGCAGCACCAGGTGCAGGGTGGACTCCTTCTGGATGTTGTAGTCAGACAGGGTGCGCCCATCTTCCAGCTGCTTGCCGGCAAAGATCAACCTCTGCTGGTCGGGGGGGATGCCCTCCTTGTCTTGGATCTTCGCCTTGACATTCTCAATGGTGTCACTGGGCTCCACCTCCAGGGTGATGGTCTTGCCCGTCAGGGTCTTCACGAAGATCTGCATTGTCTGGTTACAAAAGGGCAACAACAAAAAGAACCAAGAATTTTAGCAGTGCTAATGGCGAAAGTTCAGTATCACTGTATACTTGTCCAAATAATTAAAAGGGGCCTTGTGGCACAAGCCTTTAATCCCAGATAGTTGGAAAGCTATGGGAGGAAGAGGGCAAGTCATAGGCCAACCTGAACCATTTAGGGAAACTGACTCAAAATAAAGAATGACATGTAAATCCCAGCAGCTCTGGAGGCTGAGACAGGAGAGTTGCAAGTTTCAAAGCCAGTCTCAGCAAAATCGAGGTGCTAAGCAACTCAGTGAGACTCTGTCTCTAAATAAAATACAAAATAGGGCTGGGGCTCAGAGGTTGAGGGCCCTGAGTCCAATCCCTGGTAGCCCCCTTAAAAATAAAGAATGAGAAGTCCTGGGGGTGGAGTTCGGTGGGAGAGCGTCTTCAGATTCAATTCCCATTACCAAGAAACTTTTTTTTTTTTTAAGTGAAAAACTTGCCTTAGCAACATCAAGAAATACAGGCAGCACTACTGATAAATTAGTTCAAAACCTTGGCGTGGAGCACTAAGGCAGCCTGGAAACCTTGACCAATTTAACCTCAGAGGCCTCAAGTCTCACCCCCCCCCCTCCGGATGCCGGGTTCTGTCAATCCAGCAGGGTCTAACCTCGGCCGGAGTCCGGTGTCCTGCGACTGAGAAACACCGCCTACACCCACATGGGCAGGCGGCCCCACCCCGCATGAGCGGACAGACGGGGTGACGTCACCCGACCGCGACGGTGTGCAGCGCGCCCTAGGAGTAGGACTACGGCGCGGCACCTCACCCCGGTCTGCACCCCCGGAGCGGGCGGAAGACCAGCCCCTCCCGTCACTCGAGCCCCGAAACACTTCACGCCCGCCCGGGCGTTCTCCAACCCCGCCGCAGGGCCATCTGCCCCCACCTCCCGCTGCGGCCAGGGCCCTCCCGCGCTTCCCTTCCGCCCCCTGACGGCAGGCTCGAGCCCCAGCCTCACAGCCCCGCTCTGCGGCGCGGCTCCTCCCGGTTAAGGTTTCGCAGCGGCCGCCATTTTGGCGCTTGTCCCCTCGGGTCCGGCGGGGCGCTAAGCGCCAAGCACCAAGCCGCCGGCCCCGAGGCAGGCAGCGCGGCCCCGTCTCCCACGCGGCCGCACGGCCAGTAAGCCCCGAGCGCCGCGACGTCAGCTCACCAGCGGCAGCAGCAAGCAGTAGAGTAGCGACGGAACTCACGGCCTCGACGGAACTCACTGCGCCCCGCCCGGCGCCGCCTTATATAGGCTGTAACGTCCGCCGCCCGGGGAGATCCCTCCGCGGAAACGCCGAGAAGGGACTACTTTCCTCCGCCCTTTCCGCCCTCCGGAAAGAAAACGACTAACCGGAACCACCGGATCCCCGTTCCTGGAATGTCCTCGGGCCGAGGCCGAGGCGTGGGGGATCGCACGCGTCGGGGGGCAGGTGGCCGTTGTGAGGGCCAGGCGGAGGGATCAACTCGGGCGCAACGGTGCGGCGACCCTGGACGGGGGCGGGGCGGGTGGGGCGAAAGCCCGGCGTGGAGCCCGGGCCGGAGCGGAACGGAGCGCGCCGTCTGCCCCGGCGACCCGCGGGCCTTGGCTCCTGTCTGTTTTAGCTGCTCTGTGCCCGGTCCGCCACGTCCCCTCGCCCTGGCCGCCCTCCGCGGGCCCAGCCCCCACTGTGGCACGTTGACAGGGCGCGTGACGCTGCAGTCTCCGCGCAGGGCCTGGGTCAAGGACGAGCCGGCGTCCCCAGAGCTCCCACGAAGGAGCCTGTCCAGCTGCCCTTGGAAGGGAGGGAATTGAGCTGGACCTGAGGCCCGGCGGTCGGCCTCCGGGCTGTTCCGGGGCCTTCCTGTTTGTTCTCGGTGGCCCTGAACAGGAGAGGGTCGCCTTTGGTTGCCGACAAGGAGACTGCGGATTTGAGCTCCTTCTGCATTTGATGTACTCAGAAGGGGCTTAAGCCTGAGATGTCCTTTTATTTTTTACTTCGACTGCAGGAGTCCCACTGTTGCGTTTCACCCCCGGCCCCGAAATTAAGTCTATTAAACTGAGATGAAAAAAAAAAGAAAAAGAAAATGTTTACGGATGTGTAAGTGACCCCGTGATGGTTGAACCCAGGGTGTTGTGTGATGGTCAAGTCAGGTTGGACCTGTCTGCTGGACACTGACCACTCCTCTCCAGGGGAAGCGTTCAGATCCTTCCAGCTATCTAAAATGTGTGGCGCGAGGTTTTAAAACACAGGAATTGAGTCTCAGCTGTGCGTATTTCTGGGGAGGATTTTTAATATGTCAAATACAAACTGTGACTCCACAGGAACATTCTATTTTGATAAAAGAGGAGGAGAGAGGAGGATTGCGAGCCCAGGTGGTTTCATTTTTACCACAACCTATACTGTGACTCCTGTGTGTCATTTCCCCAGCCACTGTTCCTTCTGGATTCTTCTGGAAATAGTCCCTGTTTCTACAAACGTAGGGGGAGGATAATGTTTGAATTTCTGCCAAGAAAAAAAAAAAAAAGATACTAACTGAATAATGTTCTGCCTTTAAGAAAAGATGGTATTCTTAAATAATGAAGGTCATTTCAACATTCTGCTTAAAATGGGGTAAATCAAACCAAAACTGCCATATATTTTCTTCTTTTGTAGTAAAAATCATGCTCTACTCTACCTTTAATATGATATCACTTCACACATAAGACACACGCAGGTGTCACTTCCTGGGTACGACATTTACAGTCGAGCAGGCTTTCTGTTTTCCTGGCTTTGTCACAATTACTGTCAGGAGGCATTTTACTTGTTACATGTCTAATAAGCCACACATTAATTCTTTTTTTTGGGGGGGGGTGGCAGTGCTGGGGAATAATACTTTACTATTTTTTGTTTGTTTAAACAGTTTATCTTTTAAAGAGACTGAAATAATTATAAATATATATTCATGGGTGTTAAGCTTCACCTTCTCATTTCTGGTGCTATTTTTCTTTGATATAGAGTAGGGTCTCCACCGGATATTATTTTTCTTTTGCCTGAAGGACTTTTAAAAAAAAAAAATTTCTTGTGGGTAGTTTCTCTGGGTGATAAATTATTCCTGTGTGTGTGTGTGTTTTTGATTTTGGTGTCTTCATGTCCCTTCATTTGCCTGGGTGAGTCCTGTCCAGCTCTCTCTCTCACCTCCTTTCCCCCTAAACTGTGACTGTGCCTTCCCAACTCTGCTGAATGCTTGGGGGAAACTCCTTATTTCCTATGGTAACCTGTGTCTGATGTCTTAATGAAAATACAAGAACTGAGCATCGTTCAAAATGACTTTTAACCTCTGAAATTTTCCAAGGAGAATGAATTCACGGGTCACTGGCAAAATTTAAACGAAGAATAAAAAATGAAACATCATTTTCCAGGTTTAGTAGGAAGCCTCGGTGATCTCCAAGGTAGATTTCTGGGAAGGTAATTTCTGAATTTCAGCAGAAGTTTTTAAGGGAAGGAACAGCTGAGGTTTGGCCTGGTTTCAGCCACACCCTGCTTGCTTGGGGCTGTGCTGTGCTTTGAGTCTTGTGATCTGTGTGTAATGGCTGAGTCATGAGCTTCGTGACATAGCTTTTCTGAGTCCAGAGGTTTATACAGAGACAAACAGCTCTAATTTCAGAGGCAGGAGAGGAGAGGAGGAGGGACAAGAGGAGGTCCTGGTTGGGAGTGAGGAATGGGCCTGGGGTTAGCCCCAGAAGAAGCCAGTGGTCCCTGAAGGAAGGGGTCCCCTCTCTTCAGATCCATTGTGTGTTGGAAATGGGAGAAAATGGCCTCCCACTAGAAGCTGCTATTCCTGGGAGTGGTTTCCCTGGCAGATGCTTGGCCACGTGAGGACAGTTTGGTTTGTCACATGTGTAGGGAAGGGAGAGGAAGATGCTGGTGGTACTAGTGACATTTTTTGTCCTTCTGGCAAAGGGAAAATGACACCCTTCTCTAGCAGACAGACCCTTCCAGAGAAAGGCAGTTGGACCAGGGTGGACTCTACCCTACAGAGGGTGCTGTTGGTGGCAGTAACGACTGCCTTTCTATTTCTGAAAATGACTCCCATGGTCTAAATGTCCCACTTGGACCCAGGAGCCAGGTATCAAGTCACAATCCTAAAACCTAAAATGTCCTGACCTAGAATGTGCCAGAAGCAGATGAGTCACAGGCTCCACTTGGAGTTCGTTCCACCCACAGATGGATCCAGCCTTTGCAGGCGACCCAAGGAAGATGGCTTCAGAGCTGGCACCAATGGAAAGGGGACCGAGGCCCAGCAACAGGCCGGGATTGGCGGGCGGAGGGGGCACGTGATGGGCTGAGCTGTCGGCGCCAGGGTGTGGGGCTGCAGTGGGGTGGGGACACTCTAGCCCGCCTGCCTTTCTTCCATCCCCTCAGAGATCCAGCTCCCCTGAAGGTCATGCCTTGACCTGATTCGGCATCTGGACATTGACTGGGAGTCCTAAGGCCAGCGAGCTCCTTTTCCCCCCAGAGACCGAGTGAACCAGGGAGCGGAGGGCAGGCCTGGCCTGCTTTGTCATGCTTTATATAACCATAAAAGGTCATCTGGAGCACCTGCGGGCGGGTGGGCGGAGGCCTGGCCAACCCGGGGATGGAAACCTAAGGGCCTTTGCTCTCTTTCCTGTTGACACACCTGCTCCTGAATGGGCAGAACTTGAAAACAACCGGTTGGTGTTGTCTCCATATTTGTCTGGGTTGGGAGAACTGGGAATGTATCCAAGCTGTTTGGCTTCGATTTTGTTTTTAAGTCATGAGAAATCACAACATCATATCGACTTCTTCTTTTTTTTTTTTTAGCCCCTGGCAGTGCTGGGGATCTAGCCCACGGATTTGGCATTCCATGTAAACACTCCCTGGCCACACCCCAGCCCTAAAGTCTCCCTGTTCTAAATGCCCAGGTCAGTAGTGTTAAGTGCATTCACCCCACCATCACCCTCCCCACCAACGTCTTCAGATCTTTTTATCCACAAAACTGAAACTCTGTCCCCATTAAACAGTTCCCCTGCCCCCTTCCTAGCCACTAGCACCTCCCCTTCTACTTCCGCCTCATGTGATGGGTTCTGTATGTATTAAAATGTAATAATTGAAAAAAAAATTCAAAGAATTCAGATCTAGGAAGCGCCAACACAAGCCTTTAGCAGCAGCAACTCCTTGTGGCATTTTTCCGTATCCTGTTATGGATTTAATTATAAGATACAGTGTGAAACACAAGCACATATAATTAGTTTCACATTGGGATGGATAGCTTTAGAAATAACACTCTACCTTTTTGTTCCCTCAAAACCTTGCTGGTACATAGGGAAGAAATGCGCTTTGTGGAGACTCATTAGAAACAGGTTCTGTCACCTGTACGTCACCACCTAGCTGGTGAATCATTTCACAAATTTTAGTTTCCTTGTCTCAAAAACAAAAGGTTTGCAAAGACCAAGGTCCTTCTAGCTCTAAGATCAGATTTCTTTTTTCCAACTATGTAAAGCTTGAAGTCAAGTCAAAAGACAGGAGTTGACAGGTGTATTGTCATGGCTAGCTATAGAATGCCACAGAGTGCCTCCTCTTTAAATGAATGATAAAACAGTGTATTGACGTAACTGAGGCGCCCATGGGTGCGTGGAAGTGAAAGCTGCTCCCTCCTTACCCTCTCCTGCCCCCTGCTGCAGAGAGCAGAGCCCCAGGCTGGGCAGCAGCTGACCTTGAGCTGCTTCCTGGACAAACCGGGTCACTGAGGCACAGAGCCAGAGGCCCAACCTTGAGTGACCTACATACATCTGTACTGCCGTGTGTCCAGGAACGTCCGCAGTCCTCAATGTCAGGCACAGAAACCTCCAAATGACTGTCCTGCTCACATTTGTGATGTCAATCATCAAATTAGGTTCCGCTTTGACATTTCCCTGCTATCTGCTCCCCTTCTTCAGCTCTAACAAGGAACATTTAAGACACCAGGGGCTTCACCCTGAAGAGTTCACACCTTGTGTTAAAAGCTCAGCTGCAAACAGTAAAGCCAAGAGTTGTGGCTAGAAAAGGAAAAAAAAAAGTGGAGATGCCGGGGATCGAACCCGGGACCTCATACATGCAAAGCATGCGCTCTACCACTGAGCTACATCCCCCTCCCTCTGTGCTGGGCTTCCTGAAAATCTCTGCTACACTCCTTTCGTAAGGGTTTCCACGCCCTCGGGTTGAATCTTGTGCATACATTTAAATGGCTATTAGGGTTAGCAAAAGCCAACCAAAAAAATTCATTTCTTGTTTTTCAAATGGGCCTATTCTCCATAGCCTTGCAACAAAGATTCTAATTGCTACAGGAAATGGAAAATAAATCAGAAATTCCAGTAAATGAGGACATTGGCCTGATGGTACCCCAAAATCTCCATTCCACCCTCAGTGAATTTGAGTCCACACATCTGCTTGAAGGCTTTCTCCTTCCCACCCCCAAATTGTTCCGGATGTAAAAATGAGCAAATTAAAAAGAAACGGATTGAACCCCCAGAATCAGGGCTCAACCTTAGAAGAGGGGATCTCTGCAACATCCCACTAGGAGAGCCATCCTGAAATTGTGAAGGGGCACCCAGCCTCGGGGGCCTGTGGAGAGGGCCAGGGGGAAGAAGCCCAAAGGTTTAGTGTCTTCAAAGTCTCAAGGGGTTGTGAGTGGAAGACCTTCCCTGCCACCTGGTTTGCCATCGGCCCCCTCACCGCCGGATCTGCTCTGCTGCCCAAGCAGCTTGCCCTGCATTCCTGCCTCTCTGGCCCTCATCCGGGAAGCAGAGGTTTCCAGAGCCCCTACCTCACCAGGACTTGTGACAATTTGACAAGACAAAGCATCTAGAACAGTGTTCTCAGCGTCTAGGGGCAGACCCTGAAATGTGAGCTGTTGAAGCTACGGTGGAGTTTCCATGGGAACTGCAGGGGAACTGCAGGGTCTCACGTCTGCTCCAGGTGTGAGCTGCCACATCGCTGATTCTGTCCTGGTGAGAGAGAGCAGCGGAAGAAAGAGAGGGTGTGGATGGGCTACTGCAGAAACCGTCCCTGTCCTCATTCCTCTAGCTCGATGGCGGCAGAGCAGAGGGGTGGCACCGTGGGCCATGACCTTGAGAGACCGCTCAGCTCCCAGAGGCCCCTCTGCTTCCTCCCCGCAAAGTGCATGGCAGCCAGAGCGCTCTTCTCAGAGCAGACCTGATTTTGTTTCCTCTCTGCACAAAACCCCCGACAAGATCAAGTCCAGACTCCGCAAGGCCCTAGTGGAATGGACTTCCCTGATTCATCGCCTGCTCCTCTTCCTCCCCACGTGTTCTGTCCTTGGTTGGGCCACCTCCTTCCCATCTCAGGGCCTTGGCACTTACTGCTCTCAGCCTGGACGGCTGTCCCTTAGCTCTTGCCCCAGCTGGCTCCATCTAGATGTCCAGCGCCTTGCTCAAACGTCCCCTCCTCAGCGGGGCCTTCCCAAGCATCTCCTACTGACCTACCTGTCTCACCACTCCCTGTCACACATCCTCCTTGTTTTCTTACTGCATTTATCCATTTTAATAGTAAGGGCAGGGCCTGGTCTGGCTTGTGTCCTGCAGCAGCCCTGGTGCCTAGGATGGGGCCTGGCACATAAAAGGTGCTCAGTAGGGTTTGTGGAATGAATGTGGGAAAGTTTGGGATAAAGGTAGAAATGAACCACAGAATTGGAGCCTGGGAAGGTAAAGGGCTAAGAAAGCTATTTCAGATCTCCCCTGTCCCCGTGTCCGCCCTGACCTTCGCACTCCCTTGATGGAACTTCTAAAGAACGTTCCCTTCTCCGTGGGTTTGGCTCACTCCCTAGAGTGAGAGCTGTAAACTTTTGCTCAGTCCCTTTGGGATCTGCCAGTCCTGGGGGGGGATGATGGAGTGTGCTTGAGGGGATCACCAGTTTACGCAGGTGGTGAGACTGGGGCTTTCCAGGTCTAACTTGTATTTAAGGTGCCCCACTTGGAATGAGACCTGGGAGTCTCAGGGTGGAGAGGAGGGGGACTTCCCAGCCGGGACACTGAAAAGTAGCCCCAGTGACACCATCAGGTGTTGGTGTGTTCCCGGAACTGGCGAGGCAATCTCTCCTCATTCTGTCTCAACTATGGCTTTGGCTCCCATATTATGACGAAAATAAATGGCATCTTGTAAAGAGTTTGTTTATTGCCTGTGGGGTGCAGCAGCTGCACACCAGTGATGTTTTAAGGTCACAGAGTCTGACTGTTTTAGGGGGAGAAAATGTTCATAAGCATCTTCCGAAGTCAGATGCTGGGGCTGGAGCAAGACAAGAAATGTCAGCCCCGGAAGTCCAGCATAGCCAAGGTCAGGATGAAAAAGACGTCGTTCCACCATCAAAATGTTGCAGCCTCCCCGTCGGGGAATCGAACCCCGGTCTCCCGCGTGACAGGCGGGGATACTTACCACTATACTAACGAGGACTAGCTCTGCCAAGTCCTCCCTGGAACTCTTCTTTAAGGTAACTTGTCTCCCCTGCCCCTTCCCGTCCATTCCAGGGGGTTAAACCTTTATATTTTCCTGCAAAATAAGTCGGATTTGGCTAAATGGCATTTTAAGGTGGCCGTTTCTTGCTCGGTCCTTGTTAGCCTGGAGAATTTAAAACGCAGAAATTAAAAAAAAGAAAAAAAAAAAAACCAGAAAGCAAAAAATTAACGAGCAGACATCAACAAACGCACGCCAGGGATGAATAGGCGCTTAAGAGATAAACCAGGGAGACCTTGGTCCCCGTGCAACTTGACCAAACAGGGCGTAGCGGGGCCTCTAACCGCCATGGGGTGAGGGGGGTCTCGTAATAAAGAAATCGCGACCCTTGACGAACTGGGATAGGGTGAGCAGGCGCTGCTGTGCTCCTGCCGTGCGCAGAGACGGAAAAAGAAGGAGCTGCCGAAACCCGGGATCGAACCAGGGACCTTTAGATCTTCAGTCTAACGCTCTCCCAACTGAGCTATTTCGGCGGCCGCTGCTGGGATGAGTTGCCGTTCTCCTTGTCCGCGCGGAGGCGCTGGGCGTTGCAGTGCCCAACAGGGCGTGGGGCACTGGAAGCCGTTTCTCATCCCCTGCGCTTTGCGACCCCCGTCCTCCCAGGTGCCGCCCCCGTGGCCTCCCCGGGTCTGGCCTCCCTCACGGCTCCCTGGCGCACTGTGTCCCTGTCCATCCAGCGTGTCCCCGGCTAACACGCACCAGGCACTGCGCACTGTCCCCGCCGGATACCCCGGAGCCCGGCACGTTGCAGACGCAGGACAAACGCTTGTTGGGGGAACGGACGGAGGTCGCTCCGCCGCCGCGGGGAACAGCGTCGCGCCCCGGCCCGCAGCGCGCGGTGCCGCGGGAGGCCGACTGCGCCAGGGCTGTCCGCGGGGACAGGGCCGCCGCCCCTGAGCGCGCCGCTGGGCCCGGGCGGGAGCAGGGCCACAGGTGGGCGTCCAGCCTGGGCCCGGGCGGCCGCCCCTCGCCGCGGGAGCCCCTTCCCCGTTTCAGTCACTCAGCAAGCGTTTGCTGGACGTGCGTTTGCTCCACCAGCAAACAGGCAGCAGCTGTCCAGTGGGCAGTGCCTGCCGAGAAGGAAGACGAATCCTGGTGCTAGACGCTGGGGCGGGGGCAGGAGAAGGGGACAGCAGAGGCCGAGGAGGAGGAGCCGGGCATGCTGGACCCTGGGGATGAGCATCCCGGGCAGGGGGACAGCTGGGCTCCCGAGACAGGAAAGGCGTAGCCTTGGCAGGAACAGGAGAGTGGTCACAGTGGAGAAGTCGAGGCCCAGTGGGGCAGAGGCCGCATCCCACTCACCTGCAAGGCCTGGGAACACGGGCTGGATTTTCCTCTGGGTGCTGGTTGGAAAGCCACTGGAGTGGGGGACACTTACGTCTGGGTGTTTTTCTGGTTGCAGTTTGGAGAATGGACAGGAGCCACCAGGGTGGCTGCAGGGACACCAGCGAGGAGGCTGAGGCCGTGGTACAGCCAGAGCAGGGGTGTCCCAGGCCAGGGAGGAGCTGGGAACTCGTGGGGATGGAGATGGGGTTCAGGAAGAGTCAGGGAGAATGACACCCGGGCTGGGGGGCTGCTGGGAATGGCCGGCCCTGACCAGGAACAGGAGGCCCTGGGGCAGCAAAGCTGTCAAGACTTCAGTCACAAACACGTTGCCTTTTGAGACACCCCTTCAATTTCCAAATGGAAACTCAGACACAGCCATTTTCCTGCACATCTTGAAGCCAACAGTCCTCTGTGAGTCCCCAAATCCAGTGTTATGGGCTGAATGATGTCCCCCCCACAATTCATATGTCGAAGGCCTAACCCTGGTTCCTCAGCATGTGACAGTGCAGTTGGTGGCAGGACCTTTAAAGAACCCACTACTTCAGGCAGCACCTGAGGGTGGGCCCTAATCCAAGATGGCCAGTGTCTTCACAAGAAGGGAGATTAGGATGGATTCACCTGCAGGGAAATAGCAGAGAGAAGGTGGCTGGTGGCAGGCCAAGGAGAGAAGGTGAGAAGAAGCCCGAGCCGCTGGCAGCCCCAGAGCTGTGGGGAAATGTGTGTGTGTTCTTTAAGCCCCGTCTCTGCTATTTTTTTCAAGACTGACTCACCCAGGCTGCAGGACACCCGCCCATCCATACGCTGGATTTTCCTGGAGAGGGGAAGATTTGTGCTTTTAGAGGAATCATCCTGGAAATGATTTGGGAGAAATAGGAGGCCCTGTGCTCTGGTGTCCCCATCTGAAGAGTCTCTAGAAGAAGCCTTGCAGATGGCCTTGGCTGGGCATTCAGCTCAATGTTTTCATTTCTGATATGGGTGTCAGGTCTTGCCAGATCCAGCTCCAAACAGCCAGGCTAGCAATTCACATCCAACCCATCCCCTGTTTTTCTCACTTAACAATCCACCAACTCAAAGCTCAGCACACAGAAGGCCCTCAATACTTGTGACATAAGTGGGTTAGGTGGCAGTAACAAATAACTCCACCCGGGTGGCAGAAAGCAATGGGGATTTATTCTTGTACAGTTCTGGAGGACAGAAGTCTAAAGGCAAGGTGCTGGCAGCTTTCTTCTAGAAGCTTTGAGGGAGAATCGGCTCCAGGCCTCTCCCCAGGTTCTGGCAGAGGTGGGCAGGCAGTCCTAGGCGGACCTCAGCCTGTGGACACGGGTCCACCCTTGGCGTCCTTCTTCCCATAGCTCTCCTCTCTATTTCTCTGCTTTCTCTTTTCCTGCCTCTCCTAAGGGCATTTAGGACCTGCCCCAACCCAGAATGATCTGCAGGAGCACTTTCCATGTGCTAACAATCTCAAGATCCTCCCCTAAATGACATCTTAGAAACCCTTCTTCCAAATAAGGCCACACTGGGGGCCCCTATTCAACACCCTCCAATGCCATCACATTATTTAAATTTGTACTTGTTGTTGGGTACCAGGGATTGAACTCTGGGGCATTCGACCACTAAGCCCCATCCCCAGCCCTATTTTATATTTTATTTCGAGACAGGGTCTTACTGAGTTGCTTAGTGCCTTGCTTTTGTTGAGGCTGGCTTTGAACTTGCAATCCTCCAGTTTCAGCCTCCTGAGCCGCTGGAATTAGAGGAGTGGGCCACTGTGCCCAGTATTTTATTTATTTATTTATTTAACATTTATTTTTTAGTTTTTTAGGTGGACATAATATCTTTTATTTTATTCTTATGTGGTGCTGAGGATTGAACCTAGTGCCTCAGGCATGCTAGGCGAGCGCACTATCATTTAGACACAACCCCAACCCTATTATTTAATTTTTATGATTTGATTTTTAAAATCAAAACATGATTACTATCAAGAAGCAGAAAACTGATCAGACCACTATCAGAAAACTGACACTCTGGGCCAGGAAGTACCCATGTCCTGCTACAGGAAGCAGCCCTCGAGGGTGGTTAGTTGAACATCCCTCTAGGCCTTACTCCTGTGGATACGCGTTCATCAAAAGCCACATGGAGAGAGACAGACAGATCGTCTTTGTTAAAATTTGATCATGTTCTATGTTTTTAACTAAAAGTAGCAACATTAATTTTTCAATAAATAAAATGAAAGCAATTACTGAACTTCAGAAAAGTTTTCTTCATCCCATAAAATACACTAGTTCCCAATAAAATCCTCTGTGTTAGGAAAAATGATTATCAAAACAATTAACTTGGGCTAGGCACAGAGGCACACACATCATGATCCCAGATGTTTAGGAGGCTGAGGCAAGAGGATCCCAAGTTCAAGGCCAATCTGGGCAATTTAGTGAGACCTTGTGTCAAAGAAAGTAAAAATAAAACCGGGGCTGAGATTGTGGCTGGGTGGTAGAGCGCTTACCTAGCACATGTGAGGCCCTGGGTTGGATCCTCAGCACCACATAAAAATAAATAAACACATGCTGTCCATCTACAAGCACAAAAACAAACAAACAAACAAATAAATAAATAGAATTTAAAAAAATAAAAAAAGAAACAGCGGAACATTTGCCTAGTATGTTCTCGGGACTGGGTCTGGGATGTAGCTCGGTGGCAAAACACTTGCCTTGAATATGCACCTGCCCTGGGTTCTATTACCAGTTCCCAAAAAAAGAAGACAAAACTTGTCTCCCCCAAACAGACCCCAACGGAAATAAAGAAAGTGAGAAAAAAAATTCTCCATACTGCAAAAGAAAAAAAAAAATATATATATATATAAAATAAAGATGTGTGTTTTGAAAGAAAACATCTTAACTTCAAGGGCCTGGGCCCATCATCACCTGATACGTAGGAGTTAATTCAACCGTTTTCCAGCCTGTAGCGCTGTGCCCTTGTGCTCAGGTTTTCCCTTTTGTATTAAGATCTTAGCACTAAAAGCTCAATTCCATACGCGGGGTTGTGGGGCCAGAGTGTGGGGTACTCGAGACCTGGAAGCGCCCTCAGAAGGGGGCTGAGCTATTGATCCTGGCTTTCACTCCTTTCTTCCCCAAACAAGCCTTGATTAACAAGTCATTTTTGTCCTGAGGTGTGGCTCACGGGACTCAGCCTCGCCAAGGGAAAAGAAGCAGGAGCACTGGGTACATCCTCCGTGTGGTGCCACCGGCACCCCCATCCAGCTCCAACATTTCCTGGCTGGGCCTCCTCATTTCTGTCCCTGGCCCTGGAAACCACCAGTCCCCTTTTTGACACAGGATTTCAGTCATAGCTAAAAAAAAAAAAAAAAAGTTATTTACAGCAAGGGCTGAAAGTGTGAACTGATGGTTTTACTTCCTTTTTTTATGATACCAGGCAAACTTGGGGGGCACTTAACCACTGAGCCCCATCTCCAGACCTTTTTATATTTTCCTTAGAGACAGAGTCTTGCTAAATTGCTGAAGCTGCAATCTTCCTACCTCAGCCTCCCAAGCCACTAGGATCACAGGTGGCCACCAGCCCGCCTTCCATGTGTTTTAAATATTTGTAGGAGCCAGCTTTCCCGTCAGTGTTATCAGCAACTCGTTTTTCCTCTTCTGTGCGTTCATTGCCTGTTGACTCTTGGTCTACGGGTATTTTAGGATTTTTCTTAATGATTTGAATAAATTATTTGTCTTTTCTTTCCTTCTTTTTATTTTGAATAAATGGTGTCTGTAACAAAGATATTAGTCCTTAGAGTCTTTTGCCTACAGTCTGTTTTTAATCACTGTAGGAAATTTATTTTTTACCTACATTATTTTCTACATAGACCAAACTAGTACAAGGGTATAGCTACCAAAAAACAAAGACAACAAGAAAGAAAGAAAAAAAAAAGACACAGCATTTACCATTCTGAACCATTTAGGGTCCAGATTGCTGCCCCTTCTAGAATTGCAAACAATGCGCCTTAAGACCCTTGAAAATAAAGCAAACCAACCCCCTTTCTGCTTCTGTGCTGGGAAGCTGGGTTCCTTGTGAGCTGGTGAGCCGGACTGTACTTTCCCTCCAGTTGAATCTCGTTTGATTCAATCCACTTGGAAGTTACTTTTTTGCAAATGTTAGATATGAGTCTAGATGGGTGATTTTAGTGTAAAAGGAAACAGAGGTTTCTCCACCTGAGATGTGGGGCAGGCGTGATTGAACAGGACTGCAAGGCGACTTGGGGACCAGTAGAGGCTTGTTACTGCCCTTTCCCTTAATGGAAACTTGCCTTTGGCTTGTAAAACCTCAGTGGAGGCATGCAGTTGGGAGCTCGCGAGCGGGTCTAGGTGGATGCACATTATCTGAACGACAGGTCCCCACTGGGTGGGGCCCGCGGAGCAGGGAATCCAACGGCAGGGCCCGCGTTCACCCGGTCATGGGTGCAAACAAGGGTGACACCGAGTCCTGCCTACCTGCATCTCAAAATGCAAAAGCCTCAGGCAGCCTCCCCGTCGGGGAATCGAACCCCGGTCTCCCGCGTGACAGGCGGGGATACTCACCACTATACTAACGAGGACGGGCCGTGCCAGCGGCTCTCCAGGGTGGCTCCTGTGGATGGCGAGCTCTCTCGGGTCCCGCAGGGCGAGGTCCGCGAGCGCGGCGCTGCCTGGCTGGGCTCCAGGCCGGGGCCGCTGCCTATCAGGCTCCCTCGCGCAGCCTTCCCGGGCGGGGGTGTAGCTCAGTGGTAGAGCGCATGCTTTGCATGTATGAGGCCCCGGGTTCAATCCCCGGCATCTCCATTCGTCTTTTGCCTCATTCTTTGAATCACACGTCTGCTTAGGGGACCCAGGCACCCCCTCCGGAAAGTCCCTGCAGCCGGCCTGGTTGAACTGGCGCTTGGTCCCCCAAGTCACCCAGCAGGCGGGAAAGCTCTGCATTTGTACAGAGGTTGCCTCCGGTGTTTCTGAGCCCCTCAGGCCAGGGAGTGTGCAACACTGAGCACCTTCTGTGTGCCTAAGGATAGTGCCAGGTTCCCTGGACTCCCTGCCTGGATTGACCGGGCCAGGCGTCTCAGCCTTTTCGGGATTCACGCACCAGACCAGGGTACCAATAGTGGGCAACGGAGTGATGAGGTGGGAACTAGGGGGATGTCGGAGCCTCGTAGGAAACCGCAAGTGCAAAGGCCCTGGGGTTGGAGCAGGGGCTGCTCTGTGGTGAGTGCACACAGCAACCCTGCACTTGGTCTCCAGGCTCCTTGGGGATATACTGGGAGGGCAGGGAGATGAAGGCAGGAGCAGGTGGGGCCTGCTGTGGAGGACACTGCAAGGCCCAGTGCTGAGCATGACCGGATCACATTTAGTTTTAAACAGCTCCCTCTGGTGGCCGGGTAGAGACTGTACCCTGGCAGGTGGGAGGGACCTCGGGAAGTCCAGCCAGGCGCCAGCCCAGGCCCAGAAGGAGTCAGTGGAGGCTTCTCCAGCCGGGCACAGTGCAGCTGGGGAGCCGAGGGAGTTGCGCACGTCCCTAATCGGGGCACAACACTTTATGGGCCACTCCTTGGTCATTCAGGTTCACTTGAGTCTGAAGCATTATGGTCGCAGGGTACACTGCTGTCCTTGCCCATTGGTCCTGTGCCGCTCTGCGGGATGGACTCCTGCCACAGCATCACAGGGCCCAGGGACAAAGATGCTTGTATTTAAAAATACTTGTATTGGAAATTTTACTTGATTCTTCCCCTACGGGCAGCGCCTGGCCTCTTTACTAGGGATGGTGGACGTGCTCTCTGCCCAGCTTCCAGCCAGCAATGGGTGTTGCCTTCTTAATTTTTTCAATATATGCTGGGAACAAAGTGTCACTGCATTATTGACATTGTGTCCCTTCCCCACCTGCTGAGAGGGCAGGCATCTTCGTGAATGTCTGCGGACCACTTGGTGTGCCCATGGCTGAGAAAGGTTTGCAAAAGGAAAAAGGAGCTTATTCCCAAGCGGAGCTGGGGGACCAACTCTCAAAATGCCGCCCCAGGACAGGGTTTGGGGATATTGTGGGACAAAGCAACAGGGTGATTAAGGTGTGGAGAATAGGGACAGGAGTGACATCATTGAGGTCTGCACAGGCCTAGCCAACCCTCGTGGCCCGCCACCCGGCCGAGTGCTCAGCTGTGAGCGATAAGGGTGCGGTTTTCAACCTTCAGAAGGTCACGGATGGTGGGGTGCTGGGGGTGAGGTTCAGCAGAGTGTCTGCCTGGTGCGAGCTAGGCCCTGGGTTCCACCCCAGCGCTGGAAGCAGGAACAACAAAAAGTCACCTACTGGGCCCAGTGCAGACGGCCTGCTCTCCCTGGTCTTGCTGTTGAGGGTGGACGGCCCTGGGATGGCTTGTGATCCTCCTGCCTCAGCTTCCTCAGCTGCTGGGATTACAGGTGTGCCCCACCGCACCTGGCTGTTTTAATTTGAGGCAGTCTCCCTGTGCCACCCAGGCTGTCCTCCCAACTCAGCCTCTGCAGCCGCTGGGACCGTGGGCAGTGCCCCTCAGCCCTGGCGGGACCATTCCGGCTGCCCGGTGGGGATTTTCTGCAGCTCTCCTCATCAGAGTCTTCCCCCGTTGTCTCTCCCAGTTGCCCAGGGCTCATCCTGCATGTCAGGCTGTCTGTCATGTTTCGCAGCAGTTTTCCTGTGTATTCTTTCATTTTCCAAATAAGTCGCTCTCTATGTCAACTTGGAATTTCCAGAGCCCCATGGCTCCCCTTTCCTTGCAGCTCCGGGGGTGTCCCTCTGTTTAAGAGCCTCCCTGGACTTTTACAAACACTCCTCGCAATCCTCCTCTTAACCTTTGTGCCACTCTTGCGGGGATGCAGATGGAGAGCAGGGCAGAGGGTCTGTTCTCCCTGGTCCTGCTGCTGCGGTGGACGGCCCTTGGATGGCTCAGAGGGCTGGACTTCTGTGACAAACCAGGCCAGGGGGCAGGAAGGAGGCTCAGGGTGTCCCAGGGGAGGGAACAGCGCCCACAGGCCACAGGCTACTGAGAGAAGGGAGGAGGGCAGGGTGGCTGGGGTGTGGGGGCGATGCCCTGGGAGTGGGGCACCTGCATAGCCTCCAGGCCCCTCTGGAGGGAGTCCCCACCGTCCTCCCCGCACCGTGAGGCTGTTCCGCAGTGGAGTAGAGCCAGCCAGGGCTGTGCATGGAGGCCAGCGCTCAGCCCCTCCCAAGGCCATGGGACCTCCCATGTCCACCTCTGCCCGCCTGGTGGGCACGCGCACAGGAGTGGAGCGGTGCCTGCGAGGATGCCCAGCTCAGACCACTCATGGTAGCAGGAGGAACCGGCGAAAAACAGCACGGTGGGGTGGAGCTGCCCGCAGGGCCATTCTGCCAATGGGTCAGCTCAACTGCAGACAGGGGCTTGGAGAGCCACCGGGGAGAGAGCAGGGCACGGGGCAGGTTTAGGGTGCCCCTGGGTGGTGTGTGGAGAGGGGCACCCAGGAGGGCTGCTCAGCATGTGCGAGCCCTGAGCCGCGTCCCCCTCACATTAATTACTTGTCCTTCAAAGGACGCTATCAAGAGAGCAAAAGGGTGGGTGACCCCTGGGAGAAAATGCCTGCACACCATTCACCTGACCAGGAACAGGGACTTGTTCTGCACACTGTCCCGGCACTGGGCACCGAACCTGGGGTGCTGGGCACTGAGCCAGGTCCCCTGCCCAGTCCTCTCACAGCTCAACAAGGAGACAAGGAACCCAGTTTAAAAATGAGAAAAGCAGCTTTATTCACAATAATGAAAAGGTGGGGACTGTGGAGCACGCAGGTCCACAGGGAGGAAGGGTTAGGGGAGGGACGGGCGTGTCACGCAGCTGAACAGGAGGGTGTGAGGCACGCGGGTGGTGGTGACGGTTGACCAGAAGGCTGACAGCAACAGAGAAGTTTCCTGGGGCTCAGCTGCAGGTCCTGATCCACAGACAGCGGGTCCCCAGCTCTGGACATGGCACCAGGAAGCAGAGCAAGCTGTTGACAGGGGCAAAATACAACCCCACAGCATGCCCCCGCCAGGGGGCGCAGCCCCTCGGCCCCTCCTGCCTGCCTCTAGTTACCACTATCCTTAGTTAGTCCAGTCGCTATCCTGCTGACAGGTGGGGCCACCTACTCCACCTGGGAACTTCTTACACTGCCTCCTATGTAAGCCTTGGGGACGCCTCACACGGAAAACCTGGCGGCACCCAGTGCCCCCGAACTGAACCAGTTAGGTGGTGGGATACTGCCAGGCTCTGTGGCTCCCACTGGTCATCCCAGACTTGGGAGGCTGAGGCAGAGGCACCACAGGTGAGAGGCCAGTCTCAGCAGTGGAGGCCATGTCCTCAAAATAAAAAATAAAAAAAGGGTGGGTGTGGGGAGCCTTCCAGCCTGACGCATGGGCTCTGGCCAACCTCTGCATTTGCTGGGGTTTGGGTGCTGACCGTTCAGACAGCAAGGAGGGCTTCTTGGCGGGTGCACCCCTAGGGCTGAGTTACACCCACCTGCCCCTTCTTGAATAGAACTTTTTCTTTTTTTAAAAAAATTTAGTTTTTGGTAGACATCTTTATTTTTATGTGGTGCTGAGGATCGAACCCAGTGCCCCGCGCATGCCAGACAAGCACACTACTACTTGAGCCACATCCCCAGCCCATTGGATAGAACTTTCTAAGAACAGTGTCCCCCCAAATAAAAGCTCACTTCCAAGTGTGCGTCCCTCTCTCGTCAGCCTCTCACGCCTTTCTTGCTTTCCCTTTTGGGAAGCCTGAGGCTGAGCCGGGGGAAGCCATCCTGAAGCTTGTGTGAAGGTAAGTTGTGTCTGTTGTATTTTGTGTCCCTACAAATTCCCACGAGCCGCTGCCTGCACTGGTCTGAGAGGCAGATGGGTGTGGCTCAGTGGTAAGATGCCCCAGGGTTCAGTCCCCAGTAATAAAAAACACAACAAAGCCCCAAAGATAGTGTCGTGTATTTATTACAATAAAAGCACTTCCCCAGTGCTAGGGGCTGGAGTGGGGCACCAGGGCGCCCCACTTCTAAGCTCCACGCTCACCCCCCCCGCGTTTTCTTTAGTTCTGGGGATTGAACCTAGGGTGCCACGTCCCCAGCCCTTTTTGAGACAGGGTCTTGCTAAGTTGCTGAGACTAGCTTTGAATTTAAGATTCTCCTGCCTCAGCCTCCTGAGCTGCTGGGGTTGCAGGTGTGTGCCCCACCTCCAGCTGTCAGCCCTTCTGGAAACGGGGTCTCCCTGAGTTGCCGAGGCTGGTCTTGACCTTCAGACCCCCTGCCTCAGCTTCTGGAGTGGCTGGGATGACAGATGAGCACCACCACACCCACCAAGATGACGTTTCCCTTTGGTGCTGGGCTATAACTGAGGGTGCTCCACACTGAGCCACGTCCCAGCCCTTTTAGGCTAGTGGGTGACAGACCACCAGCAGTTCTGGGGTGACCCTGAGGTGTTCCACCACTGAGCCACACCCCGCCTCTCCTGCTTGTCCTTTTGAGCAGGGCCTTGCCTTCAGCGGCTCAGAGTTACCTGGGACTGGTGACCCCCTGCCTGGTCACTAGGATTGTGTGCACCACTGTGCTCAGCTGTACCTTAAAAATAGAACTGTGTATTTGGAATTGCGGTTCTTTGGGGTGGCTGCTGGTGACAGGGGGGACTGTGGTGGCTGCATGGTCCCCATGAGGGTGGCTGAGATGGGGCACCTGCTTCCCTCCTGGCGCTGCCAGCAGCCATACTAGGGCTTCCAGAGAAGCTGCCATCGCAGCCCAGGTCTGTGCGTGGCAAGGAACCCAGGTCCTCCTCCTTGTGCTGGGCTGTGACGCTCCTCAGGCTGGTGATGCTGCCCAGGAAGCTGGTGAGGGGAAGAGCAGGGCCTGGCTCCAGAAGGGGGCTTTGAGAGCAGTGGGAGGTGAGGCTGCAGGGAGGGAGGCCATGCTGGGGGCCAGGCCCTGCTGGGGACTCAGGCAGCAGGGCCAGGCTCCACCATCTCAGCTCAGGAGACACTGGTCCTCACCCCACAGGACATGCAGGCCGGAGATGCCCCTGATGCCTGGTGCCTCCTGCTCCACCTTCCATCTTAGCCTTAGAGGAAAGGGCAGGACAGAGGGGAAGGCAGCATGGCCAACCGTCAGGGGGACGGAGGCTCAGTCTCTGTGGCCAGCCTTTCACAGGGAGGCCCTCAGGTGAGAGCGGAGCTGTGAGGTGGGCCTGCCACGTGGGATAGCTCGGAGACCAGGCTCAGGGCTGGGCAGCCCCGGGGGCTCCTTCTGCCACAGGGAGGGGCTCCACAGCTCTGGGGAGGGCCGGCAGGTGCCCCCAGTCCTGAGTTCCACGGGGGCTAATGTAGCCCATAGAACACGTCTAACACAGGACCAGATGGGAGGTCCAACAATTGTCCACCTTATAATAAATAGTTATGAAAAAGGAAGCAGGCCAGGGGGCTGGGTGCTGCCAGCCCCTTCAGTCCCCCTTCAGTCTCCAGTCCAGTCCTGCAGCCAAGTGTCCAGTCAGCGGTCAGAGGTGGGGGGCCAGGCCTTCTCGACGCTGGCGTGCATGGCTTGCGGGAGCCACTCACAGTACTCAGCCAGTAGGTCTACAGACGGAGACAGGACAGGGTCAGTGTGGTCGTGTCCAGGACTCATGAACCGGGGACACCGCCATCCACTGCAGGGTCAGGTCCCCCCTGCATAAAGCACTGAAGCCTCCTCCCGCCGTGGCCCGACTCACATTTGGGGTCTTTCTTCCAGGCGGCAAGCAGGGTGTCCCTGCAGTCGGCCTTCTCGGCAACCAGGGCCCTCAGCAGACTCTCCGTGCGGGGCTGCAGCCTGTGAGCAGAAGGTGGGCAGTGGGTAGGGGAGACGTGGGGAGGTGTGGGGTCTGCGACTGGTGGGCCCAGGGGGGAGGATGCTTCCTGTCCCCAACTGCCTATGCTGCAGTGGGCTGACCAGTGATCTCCTGCCCAAATTCATGCCCTACCAGAACCGTGGAGTGTACAGTTATTTGAGATGAGGGTGGACTGTGTTAGGGTGGCCCCAAATGCAGTGACTGCGTCCACACAGGAGTGGACAGAGTGCGGAGGAAGAGGCTATGGAGATGGGCTGATGCTGCCATAGGCCAGGGACGCCAGCGGCCAGAGGGGCTGGAGGGGCGAGGCCCGGCCACATCCTGAGGACGCCTAGGGCCTCCAGCACCGAGGAAGCCACTGATGTTTGCAGACCCCCAGTGTATAGCAGCCTGTCACGGCCGCCCTCGGGAGGGCACATGGCTGTCACCAGGCACCGGAAGTCCATACCTGGCCCAGGTCTTCAGCATGGTGCTCGGGCTAGACAGCAGGCAGCCCTGGTAGGAAGCCAGCTTGCAGAAGACCTAAGGAGACCACAGGAGGTGAGCCCGGCCCGCCCTAGGCCTCCTGAGAGGAGAGATCACGGGAGTCGCGGGCAGCCCACCTGCCCTTCCAGCAGAAACCGCGCGAAGTGCTTGTAGCGGTCGAGGCCCTCTGGATAGTCCACCTGGACGGCAGGGAGTGGCCAGTTGACGCGATCTGGAGGGACAGCAGGTGAGTGAGGGACCCTCCAGCGGCTGCCCTCCCAAGCTGCAGGTGAGTCCTTGGACCCGACCATGGGGACAGGAGGCCCCAGGTGAAGCCCTCAGAACTGCACCCAGGCCGGCCGTGACCATGGGTCCCAGGACTCAGGCTGCAGGGTGGAGCCGAGCCCCCAGGAAGCTAGTGGACTCACAGAACACGCTGGTCCGGTGACAAAGCACCCGCCCCTGCTCGGGGCAGTAGGTGGGGGCTGGCTCCTCCAGGGGCTTGTCAAATTGGCAGTAGGAGGGCAGCAGGGCTGGAATCCACTGGACCTCCACGGTGCAGACACCTGGGGCCGGGCAGAGGCCAGCGTCACCAAAGCTCAATGCCCTCGCTACAGGGGTCCCAGGCCACAGCCCACAGCACCCCTCAGGGCAGGGAAGGCTGGCCACAGGGGTTGGCCACGGGCACAGCACCTTTCATGTACATCTTGGTGGTCTCCACGATTTCCTGGTAGACCACGAACTCTGGGAGCTCTCTGAAAAGGACGGAGCTGGGGTGGATGAAGACGGGGTCATCCAGGAGAGGGGTCTGCAGAGGGGAATGACAGCGTTCAAGGAATGGAGACCCAAGTGCCAGTAACCAGCCGCCTTTGACCCACAGAACCCAACCACACACTCCCGGCCAAAGCAGGAGCCCCCATGAAGGACAGCCAGGTGGACCCACACCAGCACTACGCCTAGCACACACAGGACAGAGCCACGGACTATGTGGACGGACCTAAAAACGGGATGCTGGGTGACAGAGCCAGCCACAAAGGCCAGATCACGTCCCCCACTGACATGAAATGTGGTAGAGGCAAATCCAGTCGGAGCCCACGCTGAGGGAGGGGCGGGGCCTGTGTGCCTGGCCACGCAGGGCAGGCCAGGCTGGACGGCCCATGAGGACCAGAAGCCCTGCCCGGCTCAGGCTGGCCCACCTTGTAGGCGTTCCTCCACTTCTCATCCAGCAGCTCCTCGCTCTGCACCCTGCGGGCCAGGTGGTCGCCCAGGCCGGCCGTCACCATCTGTCGCAGGTAGGTCACCTGGCTCTCGGTGGGTGGCTGCATCTTTGGATCCACGAAGAGCCCAGCCTCAGGGCACACGGCATTGACTGGGCAGAGAGCAAAGTGAGGGCAGTGGTGGGACTGGGGTGGTTCAACCCTGACCTTCAGAAGGCTCCACAGCTCGGAATGGCAGCTGGGCACCTGGCCTGGCCCTGAGACCCTCCCACGCCCTCCTTCCTTAGGCTAGGATGGGCTCCTGTGAGTGGCAGAGTGTCCCGTGGAGACAGCCGTCCCCAAGGCCCCAGGTAGCCTGAGACCCTGGGCTAGTCCATGTGATGAAGACCGGGGGTGGGGTGGGGGTGGAGGACGCCCAGGGGTGCCGGTGGCTTCCTGGGGGTGCCGTCTAGGGGCAGGGCGGCAGGCAGAACCTCGCTGGCCTTCCTCTCCACCCTGGAGAGTGGCCTGGGGACATGACTGGCAAGGCCAAGCTGCCATCAGTGTGCAGGGGGCTCCTGCAGTTTTAGGCTGACACACTGGGTACAGGGCTGGGTAAGGGGACAGACAAAGTGCGGTGACAGGACCCCATGATGCACCTGGTGCTCAGGAAACATCAGCTGGAAAAGCCACTGATTCTGGCACCAAACCTTGTAACCTGCTTTCCACTAAACAAGCACTCCCCGTCCTCCTCAGGGAAAGGCACGGGCTGCCTGTGTCCACGCTGGCCCCCAAACGTGTGTCGCTGGGAGGGGACATTCCTCTCCCTGCCAGCCCCCAGGTGTTGCTGGCAGGAGGTCATTTGTGTTGCTAGCTCAGGTGTGAAGGCCTAGGGTCCTGGGGGACACCAGGGAGATCAGAGAGGCCCACCAGGGCAAAAAATAGGGACGGGGCATCACCAAGGAACAGATGGCCCAGAAGGAAGCTGCTGGGTCACCACACACTGTGGCACAGGGAGCCCACACAAAGACTGGGGGCCTGGTAGGTGAGCTGGCAAGACCGCCATCTTTTCTGAAAAGTTCAAATGCTGCAAGAGCCGAGGCCAGGGGTGGCAGGTGCACTGAAGGCCACGGGCTGTACCTGCAGTGGTCAGCTGGCCCCGCAGGCGCCGGATCTCCAGCATGGCCTTGTACCGCAGCCCGTTGGCCTCACAGAACTGGGGCGAGCAGCCGGCGTACTCGCAGGCTCCCACGGCACCTGGGGATGAGGGGTGTGCTCACTCACAAGCCCCACCCTGGACCAGGGGACCTCACACCCGGTCATGCCCCTGTGGCAGATACCCACCCAGCAGCACCATGAGGTCACCGAGCTTCAGGGAGGCTCCCTGCCCCGCCCAGGCCCTCTTCACCTGGGCCACCCGTGACCGCTGGGCCTTCAGCATGGCGAGTTCGTCCTCGCTGGCTGCTGGCCTGCAAACACACATACTGCCCTGTGGCCACCCTGTCCCCCTCAGGGCCGCAGGGGTCACGGTGAATACCAAGGTCAGAATGTACCACCAGCAGCCGCCAAGATGAACTGCACGCCCCTGGACAATGAGGCCGATGGGGGCAGGCGGCCTAGCACCCCAGCTGCGGAGCAGGCACCAGGGCAGCAGATGACGACAGCGCCCCCCAAGCCCCACACTGCACTGATGTCAGGTGGGGGCATGGCTCCAAGTGCTCTGGTGACATCAGCTCTCTGAATTCCAACTCCCACACAAGGGGACGCTCATCGCCGCCCAGTTCTCCAGGTGGGCACGAGGCTCAGCGCTGAGTGGCGCCTGCATGTTCAGGCGTGTGCACCTCGGCCCCCCAGGCCCGGCCAGGCAGGAGTGAGCCGCGGGGCGTGGCGGGTGGGTTGACCGCCCGCCTGACGGTGATGCCCCTGCACCCCTGGGTCCCCACTCAGCCCTGGTCCCACCATCTTTCAGAGGTAGTGGAAGGCACTACAGCCACCTGACATGCTCAGGGGGATGGGCCTCCCGCAGGGCCACCCAGCCACAGGCCCCCTAGCGTCGCCAAGCCCAGTACACAGCGCACCTGTCCAGCTCCTCGAACAGCTCCCGCACAGTCATGGCGGCCACGATGGCGATGGCATAGGGCAAACAGCCATGCTGCCGGCTCAGCGCCAGCATCTTAGCATAACGGGGTGCCACAGGGAAGGTGGCCATGGTCCTGCCCAGCACCGTGATGGGGCAGCTCAGCCGGGACCTCTGCAGCTGCTTCAACCTGGAGACAGAGGCTGCGTTGGGTGAGACCCCACAAGAGGCGCCCAGCCAGAGCCCAGCCTCGTCTGCCTGGCTCCGCCCACCTTCCCGTCAGGCCCTGCCCCACCTTCCTGCCTGCCTGGGAGCCTGCAGGGCCCCCAGTGCGATCAGCAGCTCCTCAGCAGCCACGAGGGCCTCCGTGGAGGGAGGCGTTGGGAAGGGGAAGTTGATGACCTGAGGAGACAGGCAGGTGAGGGGATATGTGGCCACGTATGAGCACTGCGTGCTGCGCCCCTGCTCCCGGCGACCTTCTGCCCTGCCCTGAGCACCACTCACGCCACCCAGGATGTGGCCTGGGCACTTGGAAGCTGCCGAGAGTGCTCTCCAGACCCAGGGGCAAGGTTCCTTGAGCCCCTAGCACATACACACCACTCGCTCACCAGGAGCACGTCCCGAGCACCCACTGCACGCCAGGGCTGTCCCCGAGCACTACTGCCCAGGGGAGTCAGCAGGGTCATGTGAACAAGTGACACTAAAGAACAGTGCCCCAGAGAGACGGGGAGGGGAGAGTGGTGGGGCACAGGGACGTTGGCCCTCGGGAATGGCCAGGTGGACTGGTCACAAACACCTAGACACACATCCATGGTAGCCGAGGCACGACAGTCCATGCCTGTCAGTGGGCAAGACCACAGACATCATGGCCGTCCAGCCAGAAGAACGTGGCAGACATGCCACCCACGACCCCCGAGGACATGCCACACTGCAGCCAAGCCCAGGAGCCTGCAGTGTGCAACTCCGCTGCAGGAAACACCAACAGGAGGCAGGGCTGCAGGGAGCGGGTTTCCGGGGTGATGAAAATGGCCTGCACCGCTCTGTGAGCACCTGAAAACCATCTGAAATGGGCCAAATGGCTGAAGGGTGTGGTTGCACACGCACCTCAACACACTGTCCAAACAAGCGTGATGAGGAATGGACTTGAGGGGGCTAAATCCTGAGCAGAAGGCAGTGGTCTACATGCAGTACAGGGGGCAGCATGTGCAAAGACCCTGGGGTGGGAGGAGTGTGGCCCACTGAAGGGATAAGAGGACTGGACAACTGATGGTAGTGCGCCACAGTGAGCAGGGATTGCTGGGCAGTGAGGTCTAGGGGAGGGCAAGCAGGACCTTACTCAAGAGCAAGAAGATTTTCCACAGAATTGATTTGATCTCACTTACACAAAGGCATTCCAAGTGGGGCTCTAGGGCAAGGACCAGCTCCGCACTCGCCACCCACCATCCAGCCTGGGACCCACGCCAGGCCTGGCTCATGCGTAAAATGGGGACCACCAAGGGTAAACTGAGGCCATAGCAGCACAGCACCCTGCACAGCCGGGCACGCGCTCTCCCAAGAGCCGCCCCGGCCCCGGCTGTTCTTAGTAGGGAAAAGGATCAAGCCCAAGGCAGCGGGTGGACTGATGGGTGAAAGGCAGAGAACCCACAGAAACACAGGACGAACATGTTTAAAAACATGACGGAGGCCACGGGGCCGCGGCCGGGGATGGGGGGAGGGATTCATGTCATCTCCGAGGATCTCAAGTACATGAATCTCTAACCCTGAACACCGCACATCTGAATCAGAAAATGAAAGAGGACTTTCTTTTTCATCTTCAGAGATGGGGTTCACTGTGAGGTGGTGCCAGCGAGCCATTAAGTGTGGAGATTCCTTATTGGTTGACTGCTGTATCTAGTTTATGATAATTAAGATAAGCTGTGTGGAATGTATATATACCCCTCCTGTCCTACAATAAATAGCTCCCACTCCTGTACACAAGTTGTTCATCACCCCCCGGTTATTTTGTTGCAGCCGGACTGCGGCAGTTCACCATGCTGCCCAGACTGGGCTTAACTCCTGCCTCAGCCTCCCAGGAGCTGGGACTGCAGGTGGGCGCCGCTGAGCCCCACAAGGACATTTAAAACGTGTTGTTTTAAAAAGCAACAGAAGGCCACCTGGGTTCTGCCACTTGTCTCTGGGTAAGGACCCTCACTTGCTGGCCTTGGTTTCTCCACTGTTAAGAGAGGACCTGGACATCTGTGGCAGGGCAAGGGGCCTGAGGGGGCGGGTGCCTGGCTCAGCATGGATGGCACCCTGCTGGCCACCCGTCCTAGAGTCAGGACAGGGTCCTTCCTCCTCACAGGACTGACCAGAATCCACAGCCCCTGCCCACAGCCCACAGGTTGCGCAGGACTCGCTGCCTAGGTGCCTCTGCCCCTGAGAGTCCAAGGGGAGCAGTCCTAGGGAGGTGTCAGTCACGGCAGCCACAGCTTCCAGGCTCTGGCAGGGACGGCCACAGGAGCTGGGGGGCGTGCAGCTGGGCAACACTGACCTTCTCAATGTTGAGAGCTTTCATCTGCAGAATCAAGTCCTCCACGGGCCTGCGGGTGATCTCAGGAGGAGGGAACTGCTCGAAGTCACCGAAGACCGCAGAGGAGTACAGCCTACCGAGAGAGCGGGGCCATAAGGACGGGCGACACAGCCTGGGCGGAGGGTGGGGACCAGAGGGGGACGGGCGGAGGGGCACAGCCTGGGCGGAGGCTGGGGGCCACGCAGTGTCCTGCCTTCTCATGGGAGGAGAGGGTGACAATGGTGGGCAGGCGGGCAGCTAGAGAGGACAGAGCAGACCCTGCAGGTGCCCCCCCCCAAAAAAAAACCCAAAACAACACAGCAGGAGGCTGGGGACACACCTGCAAGGACCTAAGACTCATTTCACACAGGTGCCAACAGGTCAATGACAAAAGGACAGCTAAGCGCTGGAAACTGAGCACGAGCTCAGAGGGCTCCCCAGGGAAACTCGGGACAGCCAGAGACGCTGTGGGGCTGTGCGGGACGCGCAGGGCAGAGCCATGCCCAGGATGTGTCAGGCCAGCACTGCATCAGTCACCAGGGATGCAGGAGTCCAAACCATCAGACACCACCCCACACACCCAGGTGGCCAGATGGATGAGCCGGGGGAAAGCAGCATGTGTAGGAGGAGCCCGTGTGGAGGGGCGCAGTGCCCCTGGGAACCAGCTGGACAGGTCCTCGGTAAGTCAGGCAGGAGCTGCCACATGACCAGGGACTCATCCCTGGGTCACACCCACGAGAAACGAAGACACTCAACCCAGTACCGCGCCACATCCGGGCAGCCCTGCTCACAGCTCAGAAAAGTGGCCACAGCCAGGTGGGCGGCACACGCCTGTGATACCCTCGACTCAGGAGGCTGAGGCAGGAGGATCAAGTTCAAGGGCAGCCTCAGCAACTTATTTCCCACAGTAGGAAACACAAAGGGCTGGGAATGTGGCTCAGTGCCAAAGGAAAACGGGCACAACCCATTGCCCATCTGCTGAGAGGTGAGCTGGGCACCCCACGCTGCAGACCGGCCAGCGGTGGATGGAATGGGGTAGCCATACTTGCCATGACGTGACAAGCCCCAGAATCTTGGGCTCAGACGGAAGCTGGCCACCCCAGGCCACCCACAGCAGGACCCATTCCACTCAAGGGGACGGCAGGCCAAGGGGGTGGGAGGCCTCACAGGGCTACCAGGGCCCGGGAGAAAGGGGAGTGAGCGCTATGGGTATGGGGTTCTGTGGGGAGATGGGACCTTCTAAGCTGATCGTGATGACGGCTGCCACTTCAGCGAACACCCTAAAAGCCACAAAATTGGACACTTCAAAATGCATTTCTCAAGCTGTTAACAAAATGCCAGCCTCGCATAATGGGCCAGCCTCAGCAGCAGGACCAAGAAACCCATGAGTGACGCCGAGGCTGGTGTACCCAGGGATGTGGCGCCCCCCGGGAGGGTGACTGCCTTTCCTCGTCCCCAGTGCCCGCTGCAAGGAAACCCAGGGGCCCACCTGTAGCAGTGGCCTGGTTCTGTCCGGCCTGCGCGGCCTGCTCGCTGATCAGCTGATGCCTGGGAGACCCAGGTAACACGGAAGGAGGATACACCCGTGACGCGGTCATAGAAGCGCTTCTTGACCTTCCCACAGTCCACCACATACTTGATGCCTGGGATGGTGAGGGACGTCTCGGCCACGTTGGTGGCCACAACACACAGCCTTGTCCCCTCTGGGGGAGGTCTGAAGACCTGGGGTTGGAATCAGGAAAGGATCTATGGGGTGCAGGCACCGGGCAAGGCCAGGACAGCTCCTGACCAGAGGTCAGCGGGGCTGGGTGGGTGGGAGGCGGTGAGGTCAAGATAGCCCCAGATGGCAGGGGGAGGATAGGCTGGTGACATCCTGATGCCCTGCAGAGGCGGACGCCCTGGGTGTCCCGGGCCACACTCCCTCCAACAGTACCTGCGCTTGCTTCTCGGGGGCCAGCAGGGAGTAGAGTGGGAGCACGTGGAGGGGCAGGGAGGCGTCCGGCTGCTCACCTGCAGGGAGCAGAGGCCGTTGGCACCTCCTCTTCAACGGCTGTGCCCCCAGGCTCTGTGCCTGGGCGCCAGGCTCTGGCCCAGCACAGGAAATGTGAGAGCCTGGGGGCTCCCAAGGCTCTGCCCTCTCTTCTGCCCAACCCAGGACTGTGACACCCACCCAGCCACAGCTGCCTCCTATGAGCCACCTGGCCACATCTCCAGGGCCTCCCCCACTCCAGTCCTTGGCAGCATGGTGCTTTGCCCATGGCTCCTGAGCCCACACAAAAATCACAGGGTTTTTCCCTTCTTCTCCTTCTTTTAAAGAGACAGAGTCTTGCTGTGTTGCCCAGGCTGGTCTCAAACTCCTGGACTCATGAGACCCTCCTGCCTCAGCCTACTGGGGAGCAGGGACCATAGCAGGTTAGCACAGGTGGCCCAACCTGCCCCCAGCAAGGTGCTGGTCCACCTGCATGCACAGGGGCCCCATGAATTAGGCACCCCCCCAGGTGGCTTTGTGACCCAACTCCACCTGGCAAACGTGAGTGCTGGAGTAGTGACCCCATTTCTATCCACTGGACAAATGCTGGGCCCTTTGCACCAGGTGCACAGGGTGTGGGAGACCCCTGGATGGGCAGCAGAAAGCCCAGCTCTGCTGGCTCACGCCGTGAGGCACAACAGTGCGTGGCCACACCTGGGACAGGCCTTCTGTTCTATGTGGCTGCCCCTGGGCCCACGATGGGCTTGCCACGCAGAGGCTCAATACATGCTTCAGCAAGAAGCCCAGGGAGCTCAAGGGCAGGCTGCTCTGCCAGGGCCACACCTCCGTCGTCCCCGTCGTCCCCCAGGTCCAAATCAAGGTCGGAGCCCAGGGCCTCCTCCTCATCGTCCATCTCCGCCTCCCTGTCCTCGTCGCCTTCGCCCATTGGCAGCACCGAGTAGTTATCCAGATTGATCTGGGGCAGCATCTGTAGTCAAAAGACATCGGCACTGTGGCTGCTGTGACCCTGGGGTGAGCCATGGGGTGCACAGGAGCCCCTCCCTTGCCCTGCTGCTTCAGCGGGCCCCAGGTCTGCCTGCCCCAGGAGCCCTGCAGGCCTACTCAGGGGAGGGAAGTGAAGGGAGGGAGGGGAGTTGGGGACAGGAAGGACAGCAGGACGAACAGCATTATTACTGTATGCATACACATGACCGCAGGACCAACGTAACTCTGCAACACGAACTCTCAGAAAAATGAGCACCACGTACCACAGCCTGAGCCTTCTTTGCCCTGGCCCGGGACTTCTTGAACTTCCGCATTTCCTCCACCGAGTCCTTCTTGTCTTCCTTCTCTGGACGGGGGAGTGGGGAGGGAGAAGGACCCTATGGCCACTGCAGGTGCCAGCACTTGGCTTTTCATCACCCAGAACAGGGCCGTGGCACTGCGGTGGCTCATCTGGAGGGTGGAGGGCTGGGGAGAGGCCAACTCTTCCAGAGGGAGGCTAATCCCCTGCCAGGGCGCCTGGCAAGAGGCTCAGCTGATGGGCAGAGCGCGTGATCTGGGGGCCCAGGGCCTGGTTACCTGGTGCCCGGGACTTGGAGGCTGGGAAGGCCTTCCTGAGCCTGCGGCACAGCGCGTGCACCTCCGCCTGCCCCGTAAGGAACACCAGGATGCCACCTGTGGGGAGATCGCCCTTTACCTGCCAGTCACTCGGCAAACACTTGGCAACAATCGTCATCTGCCCCGCCCTGCAAGAGGCCAGGCTCAAAGGACAACCAGGAGCCAGGAGCACACGGGAGCAGGTACTCCTGGACCAATGGCACTGTAAGGGTGCTCATCAGACTGCGCAGGCCCCAGTTCCCCTACTGGGCACAGACCCAAAGGACGGAAAACGGCCTCAGACAGAAACCTGCCCGCCCTGTGCTGCACCTAGAGTCAGAGGGAGTGCCCACCACCCCCACTTCCACCAGCCTCCGCGGGTTTCCCCTGCTCTGCCTCTTATGGTGAGCGCCAGGGAGGCTGGGTACAGACAGCTTGGCCACCCGGAGCCTGTGTCCTATGCCTTGCTCACAGGGCCTCACCTGCAGGCAGCATCCGGTGGATCTTGCAGACCTTCCGGAAGCACTCACCGCTGTAGTCCTGCAGTGGCGTGTGCTTGTTGAAGTGCACGGTCACAGGGAACTGCCTGGACTCCACCTGCAGGGCACCCGGAGGGAGTGGGCAGCTTGCCGGGGACTGGCCCCTCTCCTGATCTTTCTGGGTCAGGGTCTTTTGTAGATGGTACTGGGGATTGAGCCTGGGGCCCTTCACCACTGAGCCACAGCCCAGCCGCCACCTCCCACACGCTTTTAAACACGTGAGACAGGGTCCCGCTGCATTGCCCAGTTGGGCCTGGGGCTGACGACCCCAGAGGGACTACAGGTGGGCACCACTGTGCCCACACGGGTCAGGGTCCCCAACACATGATCATTTCCTGTGGCAGAAAGGCTCCTCAGGAGTCATAGCCTTGGAGGGTCACGGAGAGGACTGCCCCAGCGTTACCTTGATGACCGGAGGCGGCTGGGGGAAGAGCCGCTGGTTCTGGGTGAAGTCCTCCACCCGCAGCGTGGCCGACATGATGATCAGCTTCAGGGGCAGGTGCCTCTGCAGGAGCACAGGCGGGGTGACCCACAGACCCAAGAAGCCAGGGGGCAGACTCACACCCCTGCCTCAGTTCCCTCTGGTTGACAGAGAGCCCGTGGGAAGTGCGCGCCAGTGGCAGGACCTGCTTGTCCCAGGTGGGAACTAGTTTAAGGGACTCTCACCATCCCACCAGGGCAGGCTCTGATGGTGGCATGTGGGGCAGGAGATGTGCCCCAGCCCAAGGGCACCAGGGACACAGCTGCCGTCATGTCCATCTGAACCAAAACTGGCTGTCCCTGAGCTGGGGGAGGAGAGCTGGGCCCTGGCTTTTTCTTTTTTAAACAAACCCCATGGGTTTCTTTCTCTAGAGATTTTCTAACACCATCTGTGGGTTCCACTGTCCACCTTGGATCATGGTCCTGGCCATCTTTTGCTGCTAGGAAACCCCATTTGGAGAGCTCAGCAGCCATGGGCGCCTGGGGAGGACAGCAGGCCCTGCTCGCCCCACGGCGCCCTCCATCCAAGCCCTCCTAGCTGTCCCCACTTGCTCACTCTGTGGCCACACCAGGCCCCTGGTGTCCCCAAGAGAACCAAGACCACAATGAAACCATGGCATGCCCTGGACGGAGAAAGAAGGCAGATAGAAAGCGGGGAGCCCCGGCCAGGACGAGAAGGTGGACCCCACGCTGCCGTAGACAGGAAAGACAGAATCCACACTGCAGTGTCCAGGGCCTCTACGTGGCCCCCGTGGCTAAAGGCAGATCACCGTGACCCGACAACCCTACTCCGCCACACCCAGGAGAAACAGAATGAGCCTACACTAAGAGCTGGACACATGGCTCACAGCCAAGAAGTGCCGGAAGCCTGAAGGCCACCACCTCCCAACGATGGCGGGCACAAGACTCAGGTGCAGGAAGCAAAGCACTGAACCACGCCCGCTGCACGGAGCCCAGGAGCAGCGCAGCCAAGGAGGCCACCAGTAGAGCACAAAGCCACCCATGAGAAATGTCCCAGTCGACAAATCCAGAGTCAGAAAGAGGACTCAGGTCACCTAGGGGTGGAGTGGGCTGAGGGGACAGGGTGACAGCAAAAGGGTCCAGGTATTTTTAAAGGGTCACCTTTCCAATGAGGTCATCTCTGACGACCCTCCAGCCCCTCCCTGGTACTCCCTGTTCCCTTGGTCAAGGCCAGCTTTCAGAGTTTGCTTACCACCTATCACCTTGACCAAAGTGGAAGCCCCAGGGGAGAAGGAACAGAACACAACTGTCCTACTAACTGCCTGTCCCCCAATGCCCTGCATGTAGCCAGGTGCATAGGAGCCCCAGAGTGCCCACCTCTCTCCACCAAGGGCACAGCTAGGCCCGCAGTGAGCACTTCCAGCAGGAGGGCAGCAGAGCATGGCAAGGCAGACAGGACAGCTGGGCAGGAGTCACCCAGGGAGCCCCGCACAGCAACTTCTGTCCACGCAGGTTCCTGCGTCCATTCCTGCCTGACCTCCGGGGACAGGGAAATGCAGGGGGGCCACAGCACTCCAGTGCCCCACCTCTGTGCCATTCTGAATGCCAGGGGCACTCTCAAGAGGGCTCCATAACTGGCCAGGCTTTCTGGATGCAGGGGAAGGTCAGAAGCATGGTGCTGGACCCAGGCCCCCACGGTGGGGAGGGCAGTGGGCCACGTCACATGGGCAGTTCACACCAAGACCCACAGTCCTGGTGACGGCAAGACTCAGGCCTGGGGCTGTCCACGGGGACCCAAGGCTCCTGATGGTATTCTGGCCAGTGCCCTGTGGAGGCCCCACAAGAGCAGGAAGCGTCTGTTCCCTGGTGCCACCAGCTGTGCTACCTTTGCCCGGAGGGCCACGATGCGGGACAGGAGGCCGAGGAGGATGTCCGTGTACACGCTGCGCTCATGGGCTTCGTCCACGATCACCACCCTGTACTTGAGCAGCAGGAAGTCCTAGGAGGGAGGCGGACGTGAGGCTGGTGGAGCCGAGCCACCAGCCTTCAACCCAGACTCACTACTCATGGAGCCGAGCCGGGACTGCGGGCACAGACCCTGTGCACGTGCCTCAGGGGAACCCCAGCTCCGTGACCCGGGGCAGGTTACTTCACCTCTCTGTGCCTCAGTTCCTTGTCCGTAAAATGGGGACAATAGGACCTGCCCCCAGGGGCTGTGGGGAGCATCAAGGATAACTGCTGTGACCATGCACAGCACACGGGGCGGGGCAGGTCCTGCAAAACAGACCACACAGGGACAGCTGCGGCCTGTCAGAGCAGAGCTGTGGGTGGGGACCCTGGCAAGGGTGGCTTGTGCCACGAGAGGCTGCCTAGACCTCATATTCCCCTGGTGGGCTGCAGGCCACAGCTGGAGTCACCTTTGCCCACCTGAGGCTGCCCCTGCCTGGGGGACAGCACAGGCCTGGTCGGAGCAGGGTGGTCCGTGACACCTCCCCACAGCCCCCGGAGGCTCTGTCCCTCCACCTGGGCAATGCACTCTCCCCGGGCACATGCAAGCCACCCCATGTGACCAAATGTCCCAGGAATCCTGACGCCCTCACAGCACCTGGAGGCCTGAGGTGCTGACTTGGGAGGCAGCAATGGAGTGTGCCGCTCACCTACGGCATCCTGGGACATGGGTGCCTGCAGCTAGGGACAGAAAACCTAGGCTGCTCCTCAGCTCTGCAGGACAAAGACCTGCGGCCCCTTTCCCTACTCCTCAGCATGAGGCTGGACCCCGCTCACAATCCAGGGCTTCCCCCTGCAGCACGCAACTGGACTTGGAAGCCCCAGAGGGGACCAGGTGGGGTCAGTGTGGCACACAGGGCCGTGACCAGCACAGCCTAAGTGTAGCACCACCTGGGGACGCAGCTCTGCAAGCCAAGCCATGAGGAAAATGCGAGATTGTATCTATGAGCTCCCACTGAGACCAGCGCCCTGTGCACTGTCCAACCTCTGCTTCAAAGGCAGGAAGACAGTAGTGGACTAGGAACCAAGGCTCAGAGAGGTTGAGTAATAGGCTCAAGCCTACACAACACAGGCACAGTGATCCGGGACGCTCTGCCAGCAGGCAGCACAACAGCTGACCACAGCAGGGTTGACACTGACCCTGCCCCGACTCCCTGTCATTGCTTTGTGAGACAAGAGAGGCAGCCCACCTTCTGGATTTCTTTGAGCAACACGCCATCTGTCATGAACTTGATCCTGGTCTCACTGGTCACGTTTCCTTCGTAACGGATCTGGTAGGAGACGACCCTGCAGGGACGGGAGGTGGCTCAGGGCAGGCAAGGCCTCCAGCGCTTCAGCTCCTGGGGTACAGCCACATGGCCTCTCTGAGGGGGGCGCACACTGGGCAGGTGGCTCAGGAAGGGCTCAGCCGCAATCAAGGACAAGGCCCAGACGCCTCTTCCATCCACTGTACCCTCCAAAGCCCTGGTGTCCAGTGCAAAGGGGGAGGGGCTGTGAGGAGGGAGGAATTCCAGGGGACTGTGCAGCCACATCACCCAGAACACAATGCAGATCATGGCCAGGGGAGAGTGAGGATGGCTTCTTGGAGACACCCACCACGACCATCTTAGGCCGCTCGGCTGAGGCCAGCCTGGGCAGCTTAGTGAGACCCTGACTCAAAAGAAAAAAACAAAACAGGCTGGGTTGCGGCTCTAGGTGGTGTGTCCCTGGGCTCAAGCAAGTGTCATCTTCCAGACTCACACAGTGACCAGGGGCCAATCCTCCTATGCAACTTGGCAAGGCCCTCACGTTATGAGGCCCTGTCTCAAAGTAAATAGTAGAAAGGGCTGGGGATGTGGCTCAGTGGCCAGGCATCCCGGGTTCAGTCCCCTGACGGCGGGGTGGGGTGTCTCTGCGTGGAGCGCGGCACTCCGAGGCCTGGTAGAACCAGCTCCCCTCGGCCGTGCCGGGGACTCACTGGCAGGAGAGGGTCTGTGTTTTGGAACCTGCGTCTTCAGCCACCCTGTCGATGCTAAGCCACAGGTGACCGCCTGGCTCCTGCCTGCTCTATCCCCAAGCTCCTGTGTGGACCCATCTTTCCCCTAAGTGTGTGACAGGGACCCAAGAGCAAGTGGCCTTACCCTGCTTTGTGGCCCCTACCTGGGAGGATCCTGAGGTCCCATGTGCAGCAGCCCCCACAGGATGCCCCGGGCCCCACACAGGACACTCACTCTGCCCAGCACCTCAGGCACAGCCAGACCTGATGGCCCTTGGCAGGCCTGGATGCCCACTCCTGGGCGAGGCCCCATCGCCCCACGACCGCCCTGGAAGCAGTGCCTCACCTCTGTGACAGATTCATCTCCTTGGCCACTCGCTGGGACATGGCCACGGCAGCCACTCGGCGGGGCTCTGTGACACCAATGATGCTGTCATCGCTGGGGAGGGGAGAAACAGTGACAGCGGGTCAGCAACCTGGCCCCGTCTGAGAGCCACCTGCGCATCACATGACAGGTGGCTGTAGGGACAAAGCCCTCACCAGGGCATGGGACAGGAAGCTGATGGCTGAGGCAGCAGCACTAGGGGCACTGGAAGGAACAGCCAAGTGTCAGCAAAGGCGCTGTCATGGAGCAGGGACCTGGGCGGCCTGACGGGCCCTCTGTGCCCAGCTGTCCATGTCAGTAACGGTGCTGAGCTCCCGCCTCCTTCTGGGGCAGCGGCTTTTGGTTCCAGCCAGGCAGCCAGGCTTAGGGGACGCCAGGAAAACCTGTGGCCCTGAGCCACCAACAGCCTCCCTGGCAGATGCCATCTCACAACGAAGTGCGCGGTGAGGCTCTGCTGGCCAGGGACTCGACACTGCACCTGGGCCCCACGACCCTGGCACCCGTTCCCACCCTGTCCACTCACCATAACCAGCCGGTCACTGGACCACACCACGCAGAGCCCTGGGATCCTCTCAGGGGACCACTGAGCTGGGCGTGGCCTTGGGAACCACATGGCCCACAGGAGGCCACACAACGACACCAGAGAACACCACTCCACGTGCCAGACGCTGACCTAAGCCTCTTGTGCAAAGCCACTAGCTGCTTCCACATGGCTACCTGAGACCCACTGAGGCCAGAGAGGCTGAGCAGCTTCTCTGAAGTCACACAGCATGCACACGGCAGAACCAGGACTGCAGCGTCAGGAGCTCAGGCTCTTAACCAGCTCCTGGGACCACGTTGCCACTGTCCCCAAGGGAACCAAACAGCACCTGTGTGCAGACCCTACCTGCTGTAGCCTGCTTCGTAGAGAAACTGGGGCACCTGTGTGGTCTTCCCACTCCCCGTCTCGCCACACACGATGACGATAGGGTTGTCAGCCACTGCCTCCATGATCACCTGCTCCTCTGCGAGGATCGGGAGCTTGAGCCGCTCTTCCTGGGGGACATAGAACACTTAGGGCGCAGAGGTACCTCAGATGGCACATACACAGTGACCGAACGGGGCCGAGACAGCTGGGGCCGGGGTGTAGAGCACAGCCCTGGACACCTGCAGCACAGGCCCCGCCAGGCACAGCCACCTGCCCCTTCCCAGAGAGGACACTGGGACTCAGGGACTGCCCTGCCCACATGCCTGGCCCTGCCCTCCCTTGCATTAACCCATGCACTCGTCAGAACCTGCATCTCGGGCACGCGGTTCACGGGGACGAACACTGCGGGCTTCGCCAGGGGCCTCGGCAGATTGGAGGTTGCTCCCTTTGAGGGGGAAGGTGCTGTAGCTGCAGAGGGCTGCCCGTGGGGCGCAGGGCTCTCCTGCCTACCCCCAGTTGGGGCCAGCGGAAGCTGTGCTGTGGTGGCCTCAGCAGCCGTCTCCTCAGGCTCAGAATCCCCCGAGGACTCAGCCTCCTCCTCTGCTGGCCAGTGGGGGCGCTTCCGGTGAGCCCCCACGAGGCTGCTGATCTTCTGGTGGCCCTGCACTGCCGTTTCGTCAGGCTTCCTGCCAGAAGAAGAGATTTCAGGGGCAGAGGCCTGGGGACACGAGGCATTCTGGCTGCCACACACCAGGGTTTGGGCCCCAGAGGCCACGTCTCTTGCCACCTCAGGGTCATTCCATCTACTGTTCCCTCTCCCAGAAACACCCTTCCTACAGATCTTCACCTCCGTCAAGGCTCTGCCCGGCCCCGCCCTCCCTCCACATTGTCACCTCTCAGGGATGCTGACCCACCAGAGCCCAAGATGCCACCCACCCCCATGCCTGCTCTGTACTAACAGCAGCAGACGGGACCCTACGATTCCTGCCCATTTGCCCCCCGCTGGGACGGAATCCTCTTCTGTGCCCTGTTCTGCCTCCTGGTGCCCAGAGCAGATCCTGGGACACTGTGGCCCTCAGCCAACAAGTCCTGGCCAGCTCATGCTCCACAGGCAGCCACAGGGCCCAGAAGATGGACACAGCAGGCCACGTGTGGAAACCACAGCATGGCGCACAGGTGGGTAGGGCACGGGGCTGCTCTGAGGCCTCAGGAAGACCAGCCTCTCCAGCTGGCTGGCCAGCGGGACCCACCTGGGTTTCAGTGTGAGATCCCCTGGTTTCTGAATGCTGCCTGTACTGGGCTAACAGCGTGTCCCCACCACTCATGCCCACTGGGGTCATCAGAAGATGGCCTTATCTGCAACCACGGCCTTTGCAGCTATCAGGAAATTTACGTGAGGACGTATGGATACCACAGGAGCCAGCACAGCTGTTCTGTGCCTCTCGGGAGGTCTAGCAGCATGGCAGACCTGGGGGAGCATTTAACATGGAAGCTCAGGCCACCCCAGTACCTTCCCATGATGCTCCAATCCTAAAGACGCCACCCTGGAGGCCCTCCTGGCTGTGGGGAAGGAGCATGGGAGGGCGGCCCACTCACTCTTTGCTGTGGTACATGCGGTGGCCAGTGCCCAGCTTAGACGTGGTGTACAAGAGTTTCATCTCGGCCTCCGACACCTGGACCTCACTCAGCTTCTGCAGCATCTCCGCTCGCTGAGGAGGGAAAGGAGGCCGTTAACCCCGGGGCAGCGACCCTCTCCTTGGACGGGAAGGCAAGCAGTGGGGAGGCTCCGCGTGCCGACACCTGGACTCCTGATAGCAAGCCGCACTATCGTGCCGCCCACTGCCTGGACACCGCAGCAGGCTGGCTGTACGGTGCCCACCCTCACAGTGCTGGGGGCAGGACAAGGCTCCCTGCAGTAGTGCGTGGCTGCTGGATAAGCGTGGCTGCTCGTGTAACAGGATGCTGCACTGCTCTCCAAGGGAGGGACGATATGTACTGGTCCCCACGTTGCCCTGCATGACACAGAGCATAGGGCCTTCCACCTGGGACAGAGCTGCATGACTTTTTTCCTTTTGTTCTCAAAATTATACACATGTGCCCGACACACTTTTTTATGTCTGTTTCACAACTGTAAAGGAAGCTGGGCCGGGCGTGGTGGTGCACGCCTATGATTCCAGTGGCTCGGGAGGCTGAGGCAGGAGGATGGAAAGTTCAAAGCCAGCCTCAGCAAAAGCAACTCAGGAGACCCTGTCTCTAAATAAAATACAAAACAGGGCTGGGGACATGGCTCAGTAGTTGAGGACCCCTGAGTTCAATCCCTGGTACCCCTGCCCCCCCGCAACAAAAAAAGGAAGCTGGGCACAGTGGTGCACACCTGTCATCCCCAGCTACTCAGGAGGCTGAGGCAGGAGGAAGACAAGTTTGAGCTCATTCTGGGCAAGTTAGTGAGATTCAAAATAAAGTAAAACAGGCTGGGAAGGCAGCTCATGTGTGAGATCCTGAGTTTGATTCCCAGAACAGAAAAAAGAAAAACAAAAATGAAGAACAATGGAGAATATGAACCAGGTTTTGAAGGACACTCCCAGAAGAGCAGCACTTCCCTGCATGGCTGCAGGTTGCACGCCCTGGGTGCTGAGAAGACATGCCTATCTCCCCATGGGAACATTGGGTGCACCGCCCCGGGGTGGCTTCCTAAGTCAAATTTCACCCAGGAAGTTTTGTGATCAGGGCTCCTCGATGTGGGAGCTGCTGACATTTTGGGCTAGATGATTCTTGCTGTTCTGAGCACCCCAGGCTCTTCCCCATAGATGCCAACAGCTCCAAAGTCATTGCCATCCATGACACTGGGACAAGTCTGTGTTTAGGAGAACCACTGTTCTAGACCCTAATACAAACTTTCTGAAACCTGGAAGGCACAGGAAAACACATCAGAGATTAAAAAAAATTTAGTCCAGTCCACACTAAACAATAAGACAACATGATTTGTTCAACAAATGCTGCGGGAGGTAGGGAGGAAGGACTTATGAGACAAGTGGAGAGCATCATAGCAAGTTCATAGCCAGCAACTGGACATGTGGTGCTATTTCACAGCCATGGCGGCACATGCATTAATCCCAGCAGTTCAGGAGGCGGAGGCAGGAGGATCACAAGCTCAAGGCCAGCCACAGGAACTTAGTGAAGTCCTAAGCAATTTAGCAAGACCCTGTTTCTAAATAAAAGATAAAAGACTGGGGACAGGGATGAAACTCTGTGATTGAATCTGGGTTCAATCTCTAACATAAAAGAAATAGAAGAAAAGGTTGTTGTGATGGTGACTTAAAAAGTCATTATTTTAGAGGTAGATATTAAAATACCCATGGATGAGACAGTATGTACAATAAGCTGAGAGCTCCGAAGAGATGCTCACCTCCTGGAGCCAGTGAGCATGCTCTTATCTGGGAAAAGCATCTGCAGAAGTAAAGAAGGCTCAAGACCTGCTTGGACCACCCAGGTGGCCCCAAGTCCACAGACAAGTGTCCTCACAAGAGACATGGAGGGGTGATAAGAAGAGGCAGACTCTGGAGACATGCAGCCACACACAAGAAAGCTGGGAGCCTTCAGGAAGAGGGTCAGGAAGAATCTCCCCACGGAGCCCAGGGAAGGAGTGTGGCCCTGCCAACAGCTGGACTGGGGACTTCTGGCCTCTAGAAGTAGGAGGACACATTTCTCTTTGTTTTAAGCCATTCATTTTGTGGTCATTTGTTATGGCAGACACAGAAAAGGGACAGAGATTTATGCTGCCTGGGGTTTGCTTCAGATCTTTCAGGGGTTGGGAAAGGACCAACAGCTGGAACGACCCAAGGCCGACCAGCAAGTGATGAGTAGGCACTGGTGATGGGCACATGGGAGTTCACTATACTGTTCTCCCTACTTTTGTGGATCTTTGAATTTCTCATTACAAACGTTTTTCCTTTAGGCTCTCTGCCCAGTGCTGCAGTAGCAAAGGGCTCTTGAATCAGACAGACAAACGTTTTTCCTTTAAATATATTAAGGAAAAAAATGGTTGAAATTCTCTAAAGTTAAAAGTAACATAAACCAGGCAATGTGGTACACCCCTGTAACCCCAGCAGCATGGGGGGCTGAAGCAGGAGCATCACAAGTTCAAAACCAGCCTCAGCAACTTACGGAGGACCTATAACTTAGCAACTCAAAATAATAAAAAAATACAAAGGGCCGGGAAGTTGCTCAGTGGTTAAGTACGCCTGGGTTTAATCTCTAGTACCAACATCATCATCAGTAACAAAAATCCTCACAAAATGAATTTTTAAAATGTGTGCATGTTGCCAGGCACAGTATGCCTGTAATCCCAGTGGCTCGGGAGGCTGAGGCAGGAGGATGGCAAGTTCATAGCCAGACTCAGCAATGCTGAGGTGCTAAGCAACTTGATGAGACTCTGTTTCTAAATAAAATACAAAACAGAGATGGGGATGTGGCTCAATGGTCTAGTGCCCCTGAGTTCAATCCCTGGTACCCCCTCCCCACAAAAGTATGCATATAAATACACTGACTCTACAGGTAGCAAACACTTGGCCTCAACAAAGTGTTTGATGGAGGCCCAGATGTCAGGCTCTGGACCTACATGACCAGTACGGGCCCATTACCCATGTGTGGCTACTTGAATTTTAACTAGAACCAAACCCTGCTACAAGTTCAGTCCATCACACACAGCCGCCTCAACTCAGGGCTCAACTGCCACATGTAACCTATGGCTACTGCATCTGTCGGTGCAGCCTCATTTTGCAAAGTGCAACTGGACAGTCCTGCTTCGGAAACCACGAGGAGGGACAGAGACTCCGTTACTCCTCCCTTGGGAGAGCTGTGTGCAGGGCATACCTGGCTCTTCTTCTCCTTCTGCTCCAAGATTTTCTGCAGCACTTTCCTCTCCTTCTTGGTCAAAGGCTTCTTCTCCTTCCTGGACAAGGGAGGGGCCTTGGTCTTCTTCTTCTTTCTCCCGGGCAGCACAAGGGCATTGCTGGCGTCCACTCCTTTCAGTGTGTCCTTGTCTGAAAAGACACGCCTGCCTGACCCACAGTCGGGGACGCCAGAGTGCAGGAGCTATTCATGTCCTGTCCTCCTGTGAGGGGCTCGGTCCCCACCTCCGTGACTCATTCTCTTCCCACTTTAAGCAAATGTCATTTATATACAATCAATCCCCACCTTGATTATCTCTACTTGGCTCTTGAGCATCCAGTCAACAGCTGCCTAGCTTCCCTGCTCAGACATCTCACAGGCCCCAAAGTACTCCCTCATCACCAAAGCTGGGCCCTTGGTGCTCCCCCTAAGCCCACCTCTTTCCACTGCAGCCACTTTTCTGGTCCAAGCATCATCTCTAGCCTGCTAGTCCTTCCCCTGGTCTTGCCTTCTACTGGTTTTTCTCAACACAGAAGCTAAAGTGAGGTATCAACATATAAGTCCAATGTTCTGTGCCTCCTGCGCTCCAAACCTTCCATGGCTCCCCTCTCAAAAGTCCCCTTTGTCACCATTATCCCCTGGCCCCCAATTTTTTCTCCTCTCTCCACTTAGGCTCCCTGACCCTCTTGGATCTCAGCTCCCCTAACACTTTCTCAGCAGCGCCTTCCCCAGCGGCCCACCCAGTCAATTCTGCTTCATCTCCTTAGTACATAACATCCCATGCATGTACCTTAGGTTCACCTTTGCCTGTCTCCGCCCACAAGCACGCAAGCCCAGGGCAGAAGGGATTTTTATCTCCCTTTCTGCTTTGTCTCAGTGCCCAGAATAGTGTCCACACATAATCGACTACCAGCAACACAGAGTCTGAAATGTCAATCAGCCTGATGCTGAGTGGACAAGCCGGGGCTGAAAACAAGTGTGAAGGTCTCTGGCAAGAAGATCAGCATCCAAGTCACGGGAATGGCTGCAATCACCTCGTTTCTTGCCCAAATGCTCAGATTACCAAGAAGCCCCAAGAACTATCCCCACTCACTGTATACACTAGGCTGTCACTGCCACTCCTCTGGATGCTGTGGAATGGGGTTCCTCTCCGGCAGCCCCGCCCAGACCGGTGGGAAGGCAGGGCACTAGGTCCGGGCCCAGCCCCACCGGCCCGGCCCGCCCCGGCGGCGAGGGCTGCGCGGCCTCCCGCCCCCAAGCAGCCCGCTCTCCGCGCCTCACCCTCCAGCTCCAGCCGAACCGCGGGCGGGGCAGGCGGCCCCTTCGAGGGGTCGGGGCCCGCCTGCAGGCGCCCCTTGAGGTTGTACCGCCGGCGCAGCTTGCCCATGGCGCCTCTCTCCCACCGGACCAGCGGCGCGACCCCCTGCCCAGCCCACGTGGGTGCCGGGCCACCGACAGCCGCGAGAGTTCCGGGTTTTAGTGTCGCGAGATCTGAGACAGACTGAGTCGCGGAGGGGCGGAGCTGGAGGCGGGACCCAAGGGGAAGCGGGGCCGAGTCTGCCCAAGAGCGGGACCATCAGGTGCAAGGGGCGGGGCCATCGCATGGAAGGGGCGGGGCCTGGAGTCTGAGCGAGGCCGGAGGCCAGAGTTTGAGCCCTGGAAGAGACGCAGGTGCAGGCTGAGTCAAGAGGGCTGAATTTCTACTGATTTGGCTGTTGGAGTGGGAGTCTTTTTTTTCTGGCACTGGGGGCATTGAACCTAGGGTTGCTTTACTTCTGAACTATGTTCCCAGCGCTCCTCCTCCTTTTTTTTTGATGCAGGTTCTCGCTAAATTACTTGAGGTCTTGTTAAATGGCTGAGGCTGCCCTGGAACTTGCAAAGTCGTTAGCATTACAGGGTGTGCGCCAATGTGCCCGCCTAGAGTGGGAGTCTTTATTATCTTTTACTTAAACTTTTTTTTTATGCGTGTTTGTTTTTGTGGTGTTGGTGACTGAACCCAGGGCACTCTGCCACCGACCAACCTACTCAGCACTGCTTAACCTTTCAAATACAACCTTGCCCCCAATACAAACTTCCCCGCTTTGCTCATCTGCATTTTCTGACATTCCTACAAGTATTGTGCATTAATTGTACAGAAAAAAGCACCAAATATTTCCATCACAGAGACAGACATAAAAGAAGTAATCTGTTAATTTGATAATTCTCATTACTTCCAGGTGGCAGGTGGTGGCACACATCTATAATCTGGGAAGCTGAGCCAGAGGATATTTGTGTGTGTGTGTGATACTGGGGGTTGAACCCAGGGCCTTATGCTTAGGAGGCAAGCACTCAACCAACTGAAATATATCTCCAGCCCTGAGGCAGGAGGATTTTAAGTTGGAGACCAACCTGGGCAATTTGGCCTAGACCCTGTCTCAAAAAAAAAAAAAAAAAGGCTGGGGATATAGCTCAAATAATATAAACAAATAAATAATAAAACTGTCATTACTGCTTCATGTCACATTTCCTGAGCCCTATGATGGTCTCACAAATAGAATGGTTACATTTTACCACATTTATCTCTTAAAAGTATTAATTTGTTAAAGGCAAACATTTAAATTGTATCACACAAAAAAGATAAAGCTAAGTTTTATCACAAAAAGGTGACTTGGAAACTATTTTGTAATTTTAGAAAGAAAAAAATTATTTTTGAAAATTTCCCCCTGGGTAGAGTGGTTGTCTAGCACACACAAGGTCCTGTGTTCCGTCCCCAGCACCCTAGAATACCAGATCAAACAAAAATACAAGAGCTGGGAGGAGCTGGGAGAGCGAGGAGAGAGGATGGGTAATGGGTACAGAAGGGCAATTAGATAGGAGCAGTAATATCTAATTATCTACAGCGCAGTTGGGCAACTGGGTTTGATAACTGTGGTTTAACTGTATATTTCAAAATAGCTTCGAGAGAGGATTTTGAATGTTCCCAGAGAAAGATATTATAAATGTTTGAGATGATGGATACACCAATGGCCCTGTGCTGATCATCACACATTGTATATACTGTGTTGAGATATCACGGTGTACTCCATAAATATGTATACATATATATTTTGTGTGTGTGGGGGGGGTACTGGGGATTGAAACCAGGAGTTATGCCCCCAGCCCCCAAAGAAAAAGAACAGAAAATGTTGTGGGTAAAATGCAGTGGTAGATCCACATGCTTACTAGCAGAGGCAGACCCTGGATTCCATCCCCAGCACACCCCAAAATATATATATGAATTTGAAGGAATTTTTAGCACTGAGCTGGGGTTGTATAGCACTCTTCTGGCATGTGTGAGGCATTGGATTTGATCCTCAGCACCACATAAAAATAAATAAATAAAACAAAGGTATTGTATCCATCTACAACTAAAAAAAAAAAAATCTTAAAAAAAGGACTTTGGGACTGGGGTTGGTGCTCAGTGGTAGAGCACTCACCTAGCATGTGTGGGGCCCTGGGTTCGATCCCCAGCACCACACAAAACTAAATGAATAAAATAAAGGTATTGTGTCCAATTACAACTAAACATATATACATATGTACATATATAGACTTTCAGCACATCAAACCTGCATTTTCACGGACTTTTGCTTGGGATGATAATGGTTTAATTTTTTTGTGCAAGGCTGGGACTATAGCTTAATGGTGGAGCGCTTGCCTAGCAAGTGTGAGGCATTTGATTCCTTGGCACCACACAAAAATATAAACAAATAAAATAAAGGTATCATGTCCATCTACAACTAAAAAACTAACAAAATAAAGGCATGCTGTCCATTTACAACTATTAAAAAAAAAAAAGTTTCTTTGGGCTAGAGTACTTGCCTAGCATATGTGAGGCCTTGGGTTCTGTCCCCAGCACAAGAGGGAAAAGTAGGTAGTAGTACACTCTGTTTTATTTTCTTCCATTATGTTGTATAAACTTAATTATCTTTTGCACTGCTGGGGATTGAATCCAGGGCCTGGCACATGCTCGGCCTGTTCTCTAACCACTGAGCTGCATCCTCAACCTCCATAATATTATATAAAGGATTAGCTTCCAGAAGGTATACAGAACATCCTAGAACTCAAGAAGAAAAAAAAAACCCACACCACAACATGGTTGGATCTCATGAAGCTGAATGAGGGAGGCCAACCACCAAAGTCATACTGTGTGACCTACTTATATAAAGTTCAAATGCAGGCAAGATGACACCCCTAAAATTCAGGAAGGACATAGTGAAGGGGAGGGGACAAAGGGAGGCTTTCTGGGGAGCTAGTGATGTTCATGTTTTATTTATTTTTATTTATTTTTTTTTTTACTGGGAATCGGAACCAGTATTGATGGATATGCTGGATGTGGTAGATATGCTGGATATAGATATGCAGTATATGCTCAATCACTGAGTGAAATCCCACCCCCCCATCCCTTTTTCAAATTTCATTTTTAGACAGGGTCTAGCCCTACGTTGGTGAGGCTGGCCTCTGACTTGCATTTCTCCTGTCTTGGCCTCCAGAGCCTCTGGGATTACAGGCATGAGAGGGGCTCAGATTGACTGGAGTTTTTATACCATGGAACAAGGCCTCGAGGTGGGAGGTCCGTGGTGACTAGCTATGGGAGGACAAGGGAGGGGAAAGCTGTGAACTATGGCCTGTCTTGTCATGCGGAGAAAGTTATCTCAGGAGGAAGAGGCAGAAAAGGGCTAGTCTGTGGCAAAGTCCATCAGGAGGACTCCTGGAATTGGACAAGTGAGTCCCTTCCTGAGTTGGGCTCTGAAGCAGCCAGTCCCTCCCTGACTTGCCTTTGCTCTTTCCCAAGTTTTCCTGATCCGAGTGATCAGTAAAGTCAAGTGGCTTATTTTGCCGTGGTATTTCCTGGACTTCTTCAAAATCCTCCCAATGCATTTCATTAACATGGCTCTTAAGCCTCTAACACCAATCATCCCACCATCCCGTCAACTTCCATGCCATTTATGTATAGCGGAAGCTGGATGGTTGCCTGTGGAGGGCGCCCCCTTCTGTGTTCTTCTGCTTTCCCTCCATCCCCCTAGTTCCTAGTTCCTATAAACTCAGTCCCTAGAGGCCTCTAGGTCCCGCCCGGTTCAGTACATCTTAGAATGGATCCTAGTTGGCGCTGGTGCTTCCTGACCCCAGGGCCTAACCAAGTCTTGACCTGACCCTCCTTTCCAGGCCGCTCCAACCTTCACCTCTAGGGTTGAGTCTCTTCCGATGATGTTCCTGGTCAGAACCCATTATTTCAAATGAAGGGGTGCTAAGAGATTTTCCAGTTCTCACACTTCCTCCTCGTGTATGGGTTGCACCTTTCTTTTTCTTTTCTTTTCTTTTTTTTTTTTTTAGTATTAGGACCAAGGATTTATTCCACAATATAAACTGCAACATTTGATACAAGCTACCAAAAAATAAGGGAGGGAGGAAGGGGCAGGGAGAAAGCCAAAATACAGCTGTGGCAATTATTTACAGCGCAGTCTCTTTTCTACATCACTAGTTCATCAGTGACACTAGAAACTAGACATTGCTTTCTGTACATCAACCAAATGCTAAAGCACCAACACACTGTTCAGGAGTTTGTTTTGTTTTAATTCTGTAAGGGTAAAATAAATTGAAGTTAAAGCGTAAAAGTTAAAGGGTAAAAGACCGGGTGTTGTAAAGTTTCTAAGCTGCAAGGTCTGAGTTAAAATGTAAAGGATTAGGTATTGTTAGGTTTCTATGCTACCTGCAAAACCTGAAATTTCTGTAGCTGTTAAGACAATGCTTGGAACTGCCCAGTAAATATTTCCCCTGACTATTTGGATTGTTTAATAAGGGCTCTGTGTGGTCGCACATAGGCATTGCAGGGCCTGGACCAATCAGTTTAAATGTAACCCCCTCCTTAGGAATGACCTATCACTCCAGCCTGACCTGTTCCCGCCAATGAATGAACCAATCATGTTTAGGAGTTGTTGTTCAATTTTCCCGCGCCTAATGATGATTTGTTCTGATGTATACAAAGCCCTCCGCCCTCCCCAAAAAGTGTACTTAAGCAGTGCTCAGCCCCTGCTCGGGGCTCTGGGCTGCTTTCCCTTCTTGAGTGGGCACGGAGCCCCAGCATGCTGGTTCAATAAATCCCCCTTCTGCCAATTGCATGAGTGGTCACTTGGTGGTCTCTTTCTCCAACGTTTTGCGGGACCCTTACAATTCCAGCCACTGAAACCAACACAGAAGTTATTGCTCAGATAAATAAACCTAGTCTACCAGAAAAAAAGAAAAGTGGATAAAGAAAGGAAGAAACAAACAAAAATCCCCACAGTGGAAAAACTTAAAATCCCCAATGTGGTAACAGTAAACAAGAGAGGGATTCCTCAAATGAGGATTTACTGGAATTTCTGGTGCCCCTCTGGGCACTGAAACTGAGTTGGGTCTTAATCCAGTGAATCCCAGACAGAGGTACTGAAGCCAGATTTAAAATTAGGTAGTCAGTGTAGTTAGGTAAATCGGGTCTAATATTGAGTGAAATCTAAAATGGAGGCCATGCTGAGAACAGACTCCGGAAACACAGGACAACTCATGGAATGTGAATGAAGTCCTGAGAAAAGCCCTAGGCCCAAAGTCCATCCCAAAGGAATGTTAATGGAGCCCAGGAAACAGCCCCCAACAGATTTGGAGATAGCCCATCCCAAAGAAGTGTTAATGAAGTCCTTCCTGCCCAGATTACTTCTTTGGCCCACCTGTGTCCCATCCCTGGGGCCTTCCAACCTACATTCCATCACTGAAAGAACTATAAAAAGGGGAGACAACTGCACTTCCACGGATTCCACCTCTTGGGTCCCCTTCTTCCTCCGGGAGAAGTCTTTTCTGCTGTCCTTTAATAAACTTCTAATTTCTACTCTGACCTTGCCTCGGCGTGCTTCTCTGGTGTTATTCTTCAACATTGGGGAAGCAAGGACTCGTCACGGGTCAACAGCGGTAACAGTACAATTTCAATGCTGTACATGAAAAGGTGCAAGCTTCAATGCCTTCCAAATTGGTGGAAACCCCTGCAAAAAACAGTCAGCGTTTCAAACCTCAACAACCTCAAACAGCTCTTAAGGAAAAAAAAATACAAAAAGTGTTAAAAAATGTTTTAGTTGTTTTTTTCTTTTTTTCAAAGAGTTCTGGAAAAATGATCCCATGAGGAATAGAAATAGCACCATGTACAGACTGGCTTGAACACCACTCCTGAAGCTTTGCTGAGATTTGAGGAAATCTTCTTGATTGGAGTCCTGAATTACATTAAGTGGGGGTGTTTGTTTTGTTTTTACTTTCTGCTTGGTGCGTCCTTCCCAGTATAGCGCACACAGATGTAGTCTGTTGGGTTGCACTTTTCTATAGAGAACCTTCCCTTCTCCACTATTTCGTGACTCTGAATGCAGTTCATCCCATAAGGGCAGGAGGATTGAATGAACTGATGCTCCCAGGGGTCAGTGTTTGGGTACCATGATAGAAAACGCAGGGAGAGGGGTGGGGTTGTGGCTCAGTGGTAGAGCGCTTGCCTAGCACTTGTGAGACACTGAGTTCAATCCTCAGCACCACATATAAGTAAATAAAAAATAAACAAAAATAAGTAAATAAAAAAGAAACAAAAATAAATATTTAAAAAAATTTAAAAAATGCAGGGAGACATATACATATGTTGTTTGTGTTCTCCAATGAATTGGAGCCGTTACATTATTGAGCTGTCGCAAGTTTTGCAGACATGGGTTGCTTCATGCAGTAAAGTTAGAAACATTTTTTTTCCCTCTCAAAGAATAGGAAGGGCCCTGCGGACCGCGCAGGCCCTTGTAGGACGGAAGGCGGGGCGGAAGGGTGGGCGGGGCCGCATGGTGGGCGGGGCCGGGCCTGCGCGGGGCGGGGCAGGTGCACGGCTGCGGCGGTGGCGGCGGCAGAGGCGCGGTGCGCGCGCCAACGCGGTCCCAGCCGGAGACCGCGGCCACCTCACGCTGCTGCACGACCCGCACTCGCCGGACGAGCATGGGTTCGTGCGCCTCGGGCGGGCCCCAGGCCCGGGCCGGGCTCCTGCTGCTGCTGCTGCTGCTCGGGCTGCTGGCCCCGGGCGCGCGGGGGGCGCGGGGCCGCGGCGGCGCCGAGAAGAACAGCTACCGCCGCACGGTCAACACCTTCTCGCAGAGCGTCAGCAGCCTGTTCGGCGAGGACAACGTGCGCGCCGCTCAGAAGGTGGGCGCCGGGGCCGCGCCCGCGGTCACCTTGCCGGGCGGCCGCGCACCTGGCGCCCAGGGCCGGTCTGGGCCGAGCGGCCTCGGTGGCCTGCGGGCCGGGCCCGGGAGGACAAGGCGGGCAGTCTCCGGCCCGCAGCGCGCGGGGCCGGGGCCGGGCCTCGGGCCTCCCCGCTCCCGCCCTGCGCTCCGCGCGGCTCTGTGGACCTGGCCGAGGCAGCGCGGCGGGCCTCGCGGGGCTGCGCTGACGCCGCCCGCGCGCGCCCATTCATTCTCCGCGTTTGAATGGGCCCCTGTGAGCCAGGCGCCGCCGCCGCGCCCCGCCGAGCTGCCGCGACCGGGGCAGAGGGAGCGAGCCGCGCGGCCTCACCTGCCGGCTGCGGGCCCTTCCTCGGGCCCCGAGTTTGCTTTGGAGCTGACCGGGGCCTGGGTGCCAAGGGGGCGTCCACGCGGCCCTCGGGCTGGGTGGGACAAGTGCCCCATCTAGGCCGGAGCTCGCCGGCGAGGGCTCAGAAAGGAGAAGTCGACGGAAACAGCTGTGGGTGGACGATGCCTTTGCTCGTGGCCCCCCCTGATTTCAGGAGTAGAGAGAAGTTTGGGTTCAAGCTGGTGTTAAGTGGCTTCACTTTTATTTTTTATTGTATCGGGAATGAAATCAAGGGGTGCTCTATCAGCGAGCTACATACATCCCGAGCCCGTCAGCATTTTCAGACATTTTTAGATAGGGTCTAAGTTGCCCAGGCTAGCCTTGGACTTGGGATCCTCCCGAGTAGCTCGGAGCCCTGCTGTGGCTTCAGTTACTTGAGCCTCCGTTTCTTTACCTGTTAAATGGGGAGAGCAGTGACACCCCTTCATTAAGAGGTTGTGATTATGAATAGCTGGTACTTTGCTGGCCCAGAATTGCCCCTAAGCTGATATCAGCTCTTGGCATTTCCTCATCAGGGCGCAAATCAACATTTTTTGTAGGCCTGCTGGAGAAACTTCATGGCTTCAAAAAGAAAACAAAGTTGGTCCTTGAGATGGAGTGGAAGCCCAACAGGCTCACCATTCTTATTCCTTGAAATTAAAGGTTAGTTTATGAGGAAGACCAGCAGCTGCCCTCCTTGTTATCTGGCTGTGTGGACGCCTTTTGCAGAGATTGTGGCCCAGTGACTCCCTACTGTAGGACCAGCCATCTGGGGGAGAGAACTCTAGGTGTCCAGTAGAGAGGAAGAGGTGTGGCTGAACACCCCAGTGCAAACCTGGGCAGGAGTGTGGCTCAGCCATTTTGAAGACAGCAGCCATTTGTGTTAGGTCAAAAAGAAGTCTGCCTTTTGTGCAGGGTAACCCCAGGGAACCCCATGTCTCACTTGACACTTTTATGAAGACTCTTAAGGTCAGCTTGAAATCCAGAATATTGAAGAGTTTCTGCCTGTGGGGTATCAATAAAACTAGTTTATTTTGACTGAGAATCTGGTGGTTGGAGCTTCTGGGGTAACCAGGGTTTTATCTTCATTAGAGATGATGAGCATACTAACAAAGTCTGTTAAAGGCTTTGAAAATCTGCTTAAAAGTTGCCAAGTACCTTTTTTGTTTTGTTTTAATGTACCAGCAACTCAGGGACACTTAACCACTGAGCTACATCCCTGGCCCTTTTTATTTTGTATTTTGATACAGTGTCTCACTAAGTTGGTGAGGCTGGTCTTTAACTTGTGAACCTCTTGTCTCAGCCTCTGTAGTTGCTGTTGGAATTACAGGTGTGCACTTCGGTGCCTGACAATTGCCAAATGCTTTCACAGAGGAAGTCATTTAAGTCCTTATTTTTGGTGCTGGAGACTGAACCCAGGCCCTTGTTAAGCACATGCTCCACCACTGAGCTGCATCTCATTTAATTCTTGAACAGCTCAATGAGTGAGGTTCTCTTTTCATTTTACAGACTGGAATTGGGCATGAGAGAGCTGGGACTTGGACCCAGAAAAAAGTGGGCATGAAGCCCAGCTACGCTCCCCACTCCCACCTTCTCCTGTCTTGACCCTTCCCTGTCCCCTGTGTGTGCCACCTCAACAGGTAGCTGACCTGACTTATTCTGCACATGTGTATAGCCCAGACCAGCCAGGTGCCGGAGAGATTGTTTTGTTAATTTTAATGAAAGCAAAACTGGGTCCGCTAGCAGCTGTAGTTTTCAGGGTGCCTGGGCATACTATTTAGAACCAGACCTGCCTTGTGGGTTGTGAAGTTGGAGGCTGTTTAGAGAAACACCACACATTCTAATCTAGGACTAGTCTGAAATAAACCCACCCCCGTTGGCATCATGGGCCTTGCTATTCAACAGGCCTAGGTTTGGATGTCAGCCTCTGCCTCTTGCCAGCTCTGTGACCTTGGACCAGTTGCTTTACCTGTTTCTCATTTGTGCAGAGGAGGTAAATTGGAATGTTGAAAGTGACAGGTTAGGTTGTCACAGTACCTGGCACTGGATAATTGCTAGATCAATGGGAGGGAATATTTGCATATGAAAAGGATTTGTCTGGTAGGAGGTGGTGTGTGCTGCAGTAGGTGGAAGTTTGAGTAGATGGATGTTCCTTCATTCTTTCAAAAATGATTAAGGGCTGGGGGTGTAACCCCATGTTAGAGCAAATACCATACACAGGGTGCAATCCCCAGCATCCAAGTACGTAAGTAAATAAATGACAGTTATCAAAACCCAGTGTGTGTAGCACTTTTCATAATAACCAGAAAGTGGAAATATCCCAAATATCTCTCTGCTGAGTTGGGGTGGACAGAACGTGGCCTGGCCATGTAGCGGGATGTGGCTTCGCCATAGGAAGGGATGGAGGGGCCTCGGAAGCAGTCACAGAAGCCAGCAGAAGCCAGAGGGACAGGCAGGGCCCCGTGGCCCCTGGTATTGTTCATATGAACCATTCAGAACAGGAAGCTCCAGAGAGACAAAGGTGACTAGTCATGCATGGGTCTGGGGTAGGGGACTGGGGTCACCTCTGGTGATGAAAGTCGGGAATAGATAGTGGTGGCCTCTGCCACATACTGGGTATGCTTAGTACCTCTGAATTGTACATGTTAAAATGAACCGTGTGGCGAGGGGGTGCAGGCCTGTGAGACCCTTTCTCAAAATAAAGTAATATGTATAAAGGGGGCTGGGGCTGGGGCTCAGTGGTGGAGCACTTGTCTGGCATATGTGAGGCGCTGGGTTCAAGCCTCCGCAACGCATAAAAAAAAATAAAAATACAAGTGTTGTGTCCATCTACAACTATAAATAAATAGAGGGGGGCTAGGCTCGTAGCTCAGTGTTAGAGAGCCCTGCATTCCATCCCTAGAAGCAAAAGAAAAAAAAAAGCTTAAAATGGTGAATTTATAGTTAGATGTATGATCTTACAGATTGGTATATTATTTTATAGTTAGACATATTAATTTCCAGTTAGATGTATTTTACTGCAGTTTTGAAAAGCACAGCATCTACCTATGCAGAGCACAAGCCAGACCAAATAATCCTTCTTGGGGGACTTTTGTCGGGTGGCAGCCACAAGGAAGTAAAATGGCTGTCGTGGTATTGAGGGTGACCTTTGCTTAGGCTCAGCATGCCTGACGCTGCCCTGAGAGAGGATCTGTTGTTGTTTCTGTCACAGATGAGGAGGCTGCGGCCTAAGAGGGTGACTCTGTTGCCCACAATCCAGCGGAGTCGTGTTGGCACCCTGTCAGTGGCCAGCTCACGACCTCTGCAGAATTGAAAGTAACTGAAATGGGGCTGGCCTTGAATGAGAGGGAGCAGGCAAGGGAAGAGTGTCCCCGGCAGAGGGACAGCAAGAGCCCAGGCTCTGCTGCAGAACAGGCTTGGCATGGGCAGGGCAGGGTGACCAAGGAGAGCCAGCCCGGTCCTGCAGGTCTCGGGTCAGATGAACTAGACTCCCTGGTACCTGAAAGGTGTTCAAGAGCTTGAGGAATGAGCCCAGGGAAGGTGGTGGGGGTGTAGGTGTCCCGCTGGCAGGTTGGGAGGAAGGAGCACAGGTTCTGTGTGGGTAGACGCCTGGGCAGGGCTGGGCTGGGACGGGACGGGATGGGACAGGACTGGACACGGGCAAGGCTCAAAGGTGGTTCAGTGTGCAGTCTGTCTGGATCTCTGGAGCACAGGTGGAGAGCCTACCTGGACTGATGGGGGGGAGCATTCTGCGTGCCGACCTGAGAAACTGCTTTCTTCCCCCGGCTCCTTGGCCGTAGTTGCATGGAGTATAATTTCAAATAATTGAGGATTTTAAAAATGTGTCTCCTGGCCTCACCCCCTCTCCTGCCTGCTTTCCTAGGGGCCGTCAGAGGCTAGGTAGGGCTCATCCTCCCTATCACTGAGTTTTGTTGGTGGCGCTGTGAATGCTGCTTTCCATGTTTTGTTTAATACAAACGTTTTGAAGACCAGACCTTGTCAGCACAGAAAGCTTAGCTCTGTTCTCTTTGAAGAACTGTAGATACCAAGTCATTTTGAAGATGTGCCATGATTGAACCCACCCTAGTGGGACGCTCCAGAGGGACCCCAGTGAGGGTCTGTCTCTACCTGCTCTCCTGCGGGCACAAAGGCAAGGTCATTGGTAAACTGGTAGAAATGGGACTGTCGAATCAAAGGCTCTGTGCATTTTTTTAAACTTTGAATTAAAATATAAGGTGCTGGGACTGGGCCTCAGTGCTACGTAGAGCGCTTGCCTGGCATGTGTGAGGCACTGGGTTCAATTCTCAGCACCGCATATAAATAAATGAATAAAATAAAGACCAATCAACAACTAAAAAAATATATAATTGGTTGTTCCATTCCCTGGAAGTCCCTTGGAGCTCCTCCAAGGTCACTACTGACCCAAGTTAGTTTTACCTGCTCCTGTCCTTCAAGGGCAGTCCCAACCCACTTTTGTTTTCAGCATGGAGAGAAGTGACTTAAGTTGTCCTCTAAACACACAGGGACTCCTTCCAGACCTCCTCCGTGAACTGTGCCATTAAACTTGAGTTTTGTCGTGCCCAGGAAAGACGGCC